TCAAGTAGTCACTCAGGGCATTAAATACGCAGTTTGAAAATATTGGAAATAATTCGTAGCGCATGTCCATGTTAGGTTCCGTTTGGAGATATTCAGGAGGTAGTTGAAGAATTGCGAGGTAAGAGTGATGTGCAAAAATATTCAACAGGAGAAATGCCTGAATTAACATGCTACAGAAAACTAAGGTTTTCGAGTGAACGAATTTACTAATTATTAAGAGTCGAATTAGCATGAGATACGGCTTGGCAGCAAGGAGAAACTTTAGTCTGGTCTTGTGGCCTACCAGATTTTATACCTCCATATGTATATTTATAAGATACATAATCCAACCTTGTATGGGTGGTCACAAAAGTATCTGGCTTGTCACGCAAGGGACTCATGCTGAACATAAGTTTTAAAGCCCCGAGTCAAGCTTATTATTAATGAATGCTACTTACTTACTAGGGCAACTTGCGAAGTGTCGATCCAGCCAGCCAGGGTTCTGAAATTGCATTTTCTGCAATAACCCAACGGCTTGGACTTTGTGATATTTGTGGGGTATGGCGTGTTTGCTTCCAATAAGAGCGGTTATTTTTTATGTATCAAGCGAAGCATGATCTAGCTCAGGAAACTGCAGGTAACGGATGAAAACAGCGCTTTTAGAAATGTACTTCCATACAACTAATATTTCCACATGTCCACCTGTATCTCTGCAAGTCCACGTGTTTCCGTGATTTTCACAGATATTCCTGTTTATCATTTAAGCTGACTAATTTTGCACATTTAGGTATGGGAAATCTGGACTCCCATACTTCTGGAAGTCTCCCATCCAGAAGTTTGTGCACGACGCAGTTTCAAAAGTCATGTTCGTCGCAATATATATACCTACATGCATACCTCTATCTCTATAAATATTTGCAAAAATTCCATACACACATAATAACATGGTAATATACCGGCCCTCCTATCAGTATGGCTTAAATATGCGTCATTACATACATACATACATATATGTATATTCCATCGGCAAAATTAATTATTCAAATGACCCTAGGAAAGAAATATAAAGCGACATATTTATTTATTTATATCAGAAAGAGGATACAAATTTTCCATAATATACATAGGTATACAGAGGTGTTAAAAATTCATTCAATTTGTTAAACCACGATCGATTCAAGGAAAGCTAATGTGGAATGTTTGTCCAGTTTATCAAACTTTGCAAACTATCCATGTTTGGATACAGGTGTACGTATGCACAGAATGCTGTATCAGAATGCTGGAATGTCACGGAAAATTTGACTGGACGTACGTTTCGAAATTATACTATAGATTACATTATATTGAAAAGAGTTTAATATTGATTACATTATATTTAAAGGGGTTCTCACAAGTGGCTGCATATAATTTATGACTAAATATTGTTTGCTGAGTAACTAAATACTAGGTAGATAATTACAATCGAAAAGATATTTGCAATGCTACCCTTTTAGATTTTAAATGCATCTTCAATTTTGCATTAAGTATAAGTTGCACATCAAGTATAAGTTGCACTAAGTATACTGTACTTAGGATTAATACAGAGTAACGTTAACTTGATCAACAGTTTTTCTTATTTATGCTAGATTCCTATTCAATATGAATAAATTGAGTGGCTTTATTTGATTTTTATTAACATAAAGGGATTACCAGTTGCAGCAAAGAAGGAACAAGTTGTTTAAAATAATTTAGGCAGGACAGTATGTAGGTACAATCAGGCCGGCCCCAAAATAAATTTTGATATGTTTATGGGTACTAGGAATTGCAAGTAAATAATAGTAAAGATGGGGTTTGAAGTTAGTAACCAACCCGAGAATGTTAAGTTAAGTTAAATAAAAATCGGGCTGGGTTGGGCTGTTTTTATCTTAATTCTAATAGTCCGGTTGAATTTGCCTTCCAAATATGCGACCAGGCTCATCTCAGCTCACCCTGTATAACTACCACACTATAATTTGCATTCATAACATGTACACAAAATTCTGTACCATTCTACCCACAAGCTTCACCTGTATTTCAATCTGATTCCAACACTCCCATCCCAACGCTACAAATCCAACTCCACCTAAAGCCGCACAAAGCCCTAGGAGATACAATAGTGCTCGAACCCCATCCCCATGAGCACTCTCATGAAATATATTTGGCTCTTGAAAATTTGAATTTAACTTGACAATATATCTTTTATACACCGTTTCCCCGTGATTTCTCATAAACCGCAATTTTTCCTTCATCCCCCGTAAAATCTCCCACCTGCCAAATATCCCTGATTGCTGTAAACCTAGCAAACCATGATGAAAAATTGGTTTGAAGAAATTTCTTGTTCCCTCCACATATGTATTGAAACTCAATGTATTCCCCACATTATTTTCCATGATTAATCTCTTCCCTAACATTTGCAAGGAAGCCGTCAACCGTCCCAGTTCCGATGGTCCATCTAAAATTGCAAAGGAATCGGTAGTAGAGAACGACTGGTTCAGATCAGTCTCAACAGGTTGAAAGTTTGACATTTTTTCGGTCAAAGGTGCACCGACCAGATCGGGGTGTATGAAAATTAATCGCTTTTGCAAATTATCCAGCCACCCAGGGATACCTATGGTTTCTTTCAAATTCGGAATTAACATTTCAGCTATGAAACAGTCACTACCGGGTGACAATGCTGTGGTAAATGTTGTTGTAAAAACGGATATACTGGACATTGCTAAAGCTTCCAAACTTTGTGGGACTTTTGGAGGGTACATGACCGTCATATCTGAATATATCGTACCTTGGTAAAGGTTATCCATAAGCAGATAGCACGCAAAAGCCATACCGTTAGCATAGGAATTGCAACCTTTTTAGCTGAGATTGTCCGAAGAATCTCATCCGCAATAGATTGACCGAAAAGGATGGAACTAAGCGGCAAAAGTCTCCCATAATGTGCAAAAATGTAAACCCTGGGACCACTCCTCTCCCTTGGAACTGTATTACTAGAGTGATAGTAACACAGGAGATCAAAACTAGTACCCACGTTGACCTGTCGAATGGTGAAAACACGCCAAAAACACTGTTAATGTTAGACGGAAATTTTGTCACAACGGCAAATTTCAATTCTTCAAAGTGTATGGAGAAAATACTGAAACCTCTGTAACCCTGATAATCCACTTGATTTTGTGTGAGAAATACGACAAAACTCATATCCCCAATAATCTCCTCCCACTTCGGTTCTTCTGGTACTTCGGCATACGTAAAGTTGTGCTTATCTCCGAGTACGTGTAATGTGCAAATATATTCTGCAATTGGGCGAATTTCTATTTCTTGAAAACGTTGGAGGTCCGGGCCACATGAGCCTGTCCAGTTTGCAGGTAACTCGGCCGAGATCATGAGCATGCATTTATTTAGATTTTTCTGGTTTATAGTGTCCCATAGTAAATCCAATTGAGCGATTGAGTCCAAAGCTTGCAACTGGATGGACGCTGAAGATGCAACACTGGCCAGAAATACTTGTGGCAGAGTTGCTAACGAAAATAGGAACAGTTTTGCAGTTCCTGGAGCCATGTTATAATATTTGTAGCAATATTTAGCATCCTTGGTCCAATTTATATGGGCAAACACATAGTGTGGTGGCACTGTCCTCAGCAACGTGTGCAGTATTTGAGCCGCAAATTCCTCCTGATTACTCAGTGTCAGGAATGTTGCCGTAGGTCTAGAAGATTTATCTGGTCCTGCACCGTTCTTGAATTTAGAAAGGGTGGAGTCGATGTAGAATGCTTCAATGGCAATTTCTCTCTTTTCGGCAATGCTGTGAACGAAGAATGGGGTGTACTTGTTCTGAGTTCGCAGAAGGGTAAAATACCCTGAAAATGTATCAAGCTCCACACTTTCATTGTATCGGATAGAGTGTAAGTTGCAGCTTTCAAATATATTTAGGAATCCAGAAGTCTGGGTTAGGAAATAAATATTAATGCAAAATAATATTTTCGCAAATGTAGACATCATTGTAAAAAATTCCATCAATTCTATAGAACAACTGCGTATTAGTTTAAACATAAAGTAGTGAGAACTAGGAGAAGTATGTCGATACCCTAAATCAATACTTTTAATCACCATTATAGCTGAGTTTCTCAACATTTATTTGGCACATTAATTTATGTATATGGAATGCTTATTATATGTACATACATACATACATGTATGTATAATGTACATAACTTTATATGCATACAAACTTACATATGCACTTGTATAGAATTCTGGTGAATGCATGCAGTATATTTTATAATATTCCGAACATTTGATAATAAATAAGTATACTGTAATAACGGCCTGTGGCAAGTCCAGGGTCCCCATCCTTACTAAAAATCTTGTCCATTAAAGGTCACCAAGCCCTACCACTTTTTTATTTATCCATTGTATTCATACATGTGAAACATTTAACATTGATGTGATACATGCATGTTATACATTTGGTTTTGCATGTAATATTTACTCATTGTATAAAATGTAAAACCGAGGACAATAACAATGCTAAGGAAGTAGGCGTAAGTGGTGTGTATCAATTCCGATTAAATAGGGATGTCCCTAGCATATGATACTACTCAGAATTTCTCAGTACTCGGCATGAAATGCTTGCCAGCTACCCGGTCAAATATTAATATTTTATTATTAAGTAGAATAATTTTTCTAAGTTTTTCTAAAATCTGGAATAATTCAGTATTAAAAAAAAACATTATAAAATAAACAATGTATCAGCTTTATGCATATCTAGATGCGATAAGTCTAGCGTTCTAAACAGGTTATTTTTCATTATAAGTTTCATATGTACATACACAACGTTTTATGTATTTTTACGATTTTATAATTATGATTATCAGTATTATGTAACCATTCATGATGTGCAAAGGCTGTTGGCTATGATGCGATTAATCAATTATGATTATTATGTACATAACGTTTTATATGATAAATCGATTTGTGCGATGAGTGATAAATGCCGAAATTTCAATACATATGTAGTTATCCATGTTTTTATTTAATATGTACTATTTATGAACCGTGTACTTGTATACTAAACTTAACAAGCTAAGCAAAAATCACGAATTCCTTGCATACTTGGAAATACTGTCAGACTTGGTGGCATTATTCTTAGAATTTGTACATTTCCATGACTGACTGGAGGACGAATTTTCCGTCTTGGACACTCCATTGTTTTGATTTGAACCTTTGTTAATTCTCCATTCACTGTATGATAGTTGATTTTGGCTCGATCCACTAAAAGAGAAAGTAAAATTTATCAACAAAATTAGCAGAAATTTTCAAAGTTTTTAGTAATTTTTACCTCTGTGGTTCCGATCTCACAAAGAAAGGGGCAATTCGGTTCATTTTTTTGTTTGTATGTTATTTCTCTTTTTAGAAATATTTCGCAACTTGAATATGTAAAGAAATTTGTGCGTTTTAAATATTGGCACTTTTTAAAGCTAAAAATTGGATTTATGTTTGCATTAAATATGATAACAGATCCCGTAGATTGGATATCTTGTCAGATCGTTCTCAAAATAAGGAATGGATACAAAATTGCAACTTTATTCGCGTTTTATATCTCACATATTTATTATTCTGCAAAACATACTCACACACAACATGTCAGTCTGTCAAGTTATAAATGTTTTTGTAAGTACCTTGTATGTACATACATGTTTTCTTGTGTACAAACTCATCGCGAAGAAAATATTGTTATTTACGAGATCATGAAGTGAGAAGTTAATATCTTTCATACATTAATGCTTACTGGTAAGATGACGGTGGTTTCGATGACGACAGTCGTTCAGGTGTATGTATGACTGTATGACGCTGTTCCTTGTTAAGTACAGAAGTGTGAATACTTATTTATGCAAACGATAAGGAAAAGTTGGCGAGAACCAGTTTTTGTGCATGGTTACAAATCGCGCTATAGTTATTGTGTCACATATTTAAATGCGGCATCGCTTTTTCTTTCACAACTTTATCAGTACAACATTCCAGTTAGTGATACACTAATGTATGTACAAATGTGTATGAAGGTATATTCAGGAAATCATACGATTAGAAAACTGCAAAATGTTTGTAAACAAATTTATGATAGAAAGTTGCGTTAAATAAGTATTGATTTGGTTATAAATATTTATTGCGGTTTTATCAGAAGTATTAGTTTTTGTCAGAAGTAAATATTTTACCGGATTGAAGATGTACTTAATACATAATATGCATCTATTTATGTAACTATTATGCACCAACAAATTTATGTCATATCGATCCACCCACCTATGCAAATATGTATTACATAAATACAAATGCATGCATGTAATTCATCGTTCAAGTTATGCATACACACTTAAAAATAAATGTCACCCTTGTGAACAGTAAAAGATGATCTCTACGTTTTGTATTAAATAAACAGAACTTAATCCAGAGTAAACTTTAATCCTTATCACGTTAACGTTACTCTGGATTTAGTTTAACTTACTTAGTATAAAATTAGAAGTGCATTTACTTTTCAAAATGGGTGACATTATTTTTCAGAGTGGATACGCATTGGCAAATTGTCAGTGCATTGACAGCGTTTGTTGAAAAACTTGTGCATATATAAATTCCGTACTTATAATTAGATAATCTTCGGTCCAACCCACCATTATCTTCACAAGTATGTTTGCATCACGCCACACCAGGTTGTTCACTTCACACCTGCATGCCCAATACATAATTATAGCAAAATAGGGTGGAAAATCCAGCGAATCAGTCACTCTTGAAGTGACACATCAATTAAAATGATACATAAAACAATTCTTATCAGAAATGGTCACACGAGCCATAAATTCCACCAGAGTCAATGTCAATGTCATGTCCAGTTTCCAGATTCCTTAGTCGTAGTTCTCGATTGTTGGAATAATCATGAAAATTTTTGTCTTAATTTGCCTCGTCGGAGCGGCGTCGTTCGTAAATGGCGCTCCAAATTCGGACACGGTGTATTTCCCCAATCCGAACGGAGACGGGACTCTGATGCCCGCCGTTTTAACAGCGACGAAGGAATCGGACGAAATTACGGCAAACGCTAGAGCAGATTCTGTCAGATTTTTGCTCTATACAAAGTAAATGATAGTTTTGCGAAGAATTTGAATAATTGTTTTCAAAATTGCAATATTTTCTTAGGAACAATCAGCAAAATTTCGACCAGCTTTTAATCGGAAATCTTGACTCGGTAGAATCTTCTCGATACATAAATGGTGCCCCAGTTCTTTTACTGATTCATGGATGGGGAGGAAATTATGATCACACTTTTCCCTGGAATCTTCGTGGAAGTAAGAATGGTGAAATGTTTATGAATAGAACTAAAATTAAGGAGAAGTTGGTACGAAAATGGAAGTCATTTAATTTTTTTTATTTGGAGTTATGATTTTTTGAAGTTTTCAAATCTGGTAATTGTATGATAATTTTTTTACGAAATTCATTTTTTCGTCAAATCGCCTCTCGCCGAACTATTTGCTCATCCTTACCCTTTCACCAATTAATTAAGCAACTATTCAATGTTTCTGAAACTATCTAAAATCTAAAACTAAATCTAAATCTAAAACTAAAATCTAAAACTAAATCGAAATCGAAATCTGAAACTAGCCGATCTATTTTTAGGACTTGTCGACCCCAGAAATGCCGTCGACTATAACGTAATCCTCATGGAATGGTCAGTCTTGGCCGACGGAAGCAATTACATCGCTGCCGTGAACAACATGCAAATTGCCAGTGAGCAGGCCACCTTGCTCCTCAAGTTTCTAGTTGACAATGGGAAGACGACATGGGGCAACGTACACATCGTTGGATTTAGTTTAGGCGGTCAGATGGCGGGTCAGATCGGGTGGCGAGTTCAAGGTCGGGGAGGAATGATTAATCAAATTACTGGTAATTTAACGACAACTGGAAAATATCCATTCTCCATTTCGAGATTTTTCCTAAATATTGCGACAATTTTAAATTCTCAGCGCTGGATCCCGCCCTGCCCATATTTGACTCTGTAAATCAGGCCAATCGAACGGGCCCAGAGGATGCCACGTTCGTACAAGTAATTCATACTTCCGGAGGAAAATTGGGATACTTGGACCCAATCGGGCATGTTGATTTTTATCCGGCGGGAGGAAGGTGCATAGATCTATTAATTAAGGAAATTTAATCAAAATTTGCATAACCGTTGCAAATTAATTTCATAACTGCAGGTTCCAGCCCGGATGTGGGACCGACTTGACTGGATCGTGCGCCCATTCCAGAGCGCCCGCTATGTACACAGAATCCGTTTTTGCGGCACTTTCCCAAGAATTTTGGGGAAAGGAATGTCCTTCTTATGCGGACTACCAAAGTGGAGCTTGTAACGGAAATAGGCCCCTCGTTATGGGGCATTATACACCTTTCGGGTAAATATTATAATATTGGATAGTAACTTCCCAAACAGTCTTTAAATTATGATAATGGCTTAATTTGTGAATTTATTTCTGTAGATCTAGTGGAATTTTCTACCTGGGGTCAAATGCAGAGGCACCTTTCGGTCAAGGTCCTTAAAAAGCGTTTTGTATTATTTTATCATCCGCCAAATTGTTTCATTATCATGGTGATTATTCTTGTACATTTTTGCTTTTCCCGGAATTTACTACATAGAAACGAATTTGCAATAAAAAATTTGCAATAAAAAATGCTATAAAAAATGCAATAAAAAATTTTGTTTCAATCATGAATGTTCGAAAAAATGGTTTAATTCAAATATGTGACCTTCAGATTTTGAGTTTACGTTTTCATTCATTTTCAATCACTTGCTTTCATATTTATTTCAGAGCATATTGTAAGAGGTGAAGGTATTGAAACACCGTGTGAAGACAAAAACCTTATTTGACTTAAGACTTTCAATTGGAGCGAATTCGCCAACACAGGAAACCCCTCTTTTTATTGGCAACATTTCATATCATTACGTACATATGTATGTATTTGCATTTCCATGTTTACAACCATTCAGCGAAATGTGTACAGTTTTTGGGATAAACATTTCAAATTATTTAATATCTACATTGGATAATAATTATAAGTGTATTCGGTAATAGTTAAAGTAATTATCATTAATTGAATTAATGGGATTAATTGAATGAATATCGACTTTGAATTAACAAATATGCACCTTAGTAATTATTGCAGCAGCTTAACCTCGCGTAAATAATTTATTTACGAACGATTTGCAGAGACGTAACAACAAAAATATGCCAAAGTATTGAAGAATAGTTACGAAAAATGTATAACGTAAGTATTCACCACCCACAAACAATTCTTGGTTATCTTGATTATCATCCCCTACGATATTTGCCAATCCTAATCTTTCCAGCTCCTTAACCTCGTCCGGCTCAAAGATAACATCGTAATTTTTCACTTCCACAAATTTTAAGGAAATATCGTGCTCCCTAATTTCCCGTTCCAGTATGAGAACGAATATCGGATGAACTATTAGCTTCCCATTTTGCGCTACGATTACTGACTGGTTCTTAAATTTTTCCATTAACCTCAACATTCTGCCGTCCATCTTAAATCCCATCATGGTCTGCATTTTGAGAAAGAGCTTAATCGAAATCCCATCGGGACCAGAGCGAGACAGGAGGAAGACCAAATTTGAGACTTTTCGCGTATACTTAATCCCCCATTTTATTTTATCCAGGACTTCAGAAAATTTAAAAATTACTGAACATGCACAAGAAGCTGGAAAATTTGGAAATAATGATGACTCCAATATTTCCAGGGGATTATTCTTATAAATTCTGAGACAATGTGTGATTTGATCGCTGTTAAAATTTGTACAACTTGGATATTGGATGTTGAGAAAAGATATGAAATGATGTAAAGCTAGAGGGTGGCCGTGCAAAAGGTTGCACAATTCTTTGCAGGCGCAACTTTCAATGTCCGGCAGAACTTCGGCGATATCCAAAAAATTTAAGCCTGCTAAATTTGGTGTGCGGTCGAATTGCATAATTTTTTTGGTATAACGACAATTTGGTATAATTTGATTTGGTATAATAATGTTGGTATAATTTAAGGGAACCATTTGGTATAATGAAACTCAGGGATAATTCTATTAGGGATAATTATATTTTAAGCTTTAAAGGGACCATAATTCATTCCATTCCTTCTTTCCTTGCATTCTACATTCACTCGAATTGCACTCCAGTCACAACCATGTCCACTGAAAACGCTACTTGTACCAAAAAAACAACCGCAGGAATTACATATTTGCACGGACAGAAATAGAGGATTCAAAGGGCGATTAATTTTGTACGAAGGCAAAGGAAAATTTAAAACAACGGTATCACATTCTCTACCTACATTTCCCTAACCCTGAAAGGTCAGATTGAATTGGCCTTTGTCCCCATGAACGATGAACTGATACTCTAGATATCACGACAAAGTCCCTCGTACCAACAATGCTGGGTTGGCATTTACGCATAAATACAATGCGGAAAGCCATTGAAATTTTAAAAAATGACCAAAGCCATTGGAATTTGGAAATCGAAAAATTGACATCTGGGCAAGTCGAGCCACAGCGTAAAATTCACAGGGACCTGGATAAGCGACTCCTCTTGATTGTACTTAGAATCATACAACACTGATCTTGACACTTTCGACTATCTCAAGGGTATTGGAAATTAAAATTGTGAAGAATTAAGTTTAAAAGTTAATTTAAAATTTAATTTTGATTTTCGTATAATTATCCCTTTTTTAATTATCCCTTATATACCATTATACCAATTTGTTTTATGCCAAAAAAAATTATACCATATTGCATTATCCCTAAAAAATTATGCAATTCGACCTACAACCGCTAAATTTATGTGTCTCATATTCCTCGCGTATTTACTAAGCAAATTACTACTTCGACTAGTTAACACGATAAAAATTTTGCTAAAGTTGTGAAATTCGTAAAGAAACTGTTCAAAATCTCTAGTTCGACGTGACAAATTGTCTCAAATACAAACCCAATACTTTTCTCTAGTAATTTCACTCACAATTCGTTTCGACTCAGTTTTAACGGTTCAATGGGTGGAGGTAATTCTTGAGTTGTGACGAATTAAACTATAGTATAATTGATACCAAGAAAATACCCCATTTTCTCATTCAATCCAAGAAAAATTAGTGTTACATTTAGATTTAATGAATTTACAAATTAATTCCGACTTGCCAATTGCGGGAGGTCCAGTTATATAGACGTATTGCGATTGAAGCTCGCAATTTGAGAAGGATTCCTCCAATTTCCCCAATTCGTCGCGTCTTCCATAAAATGGTAGTTCCGGTGTTGAGATTGGTCGTATAAATGGTTCATCTTCAAACTTGGATATTTTTCCGGCCTCCTTATTCCCAAATTTGTGGATGACGACAGTATTGGGGGTAAATTTATCTCCAAGTTGTTCTAAAAGTGAAACAGATGATAAATGAACTAGGGAATAGGGAACGTCCATCTATTACTTATCAAAAAGGTGGTGGGTAGGGTTGGGTGGTTTGGGTGGGCCGCTTATCTTTCTCATGTTAAGCTTAAAATGAGCAGGATACAGAAGGGTTATGTTAAAATTTGGATTTTTTGTGAGTAATGGGTGAACGTTCCCTTAATTATATTTTATGTGCTTTTCTATGTGAAATTTCTAGTGTGAAATTGTGAAATTTAAGTGCAATTTCTAAAAAAATCCTGAGACACACCCCCCCCCCTCTCCCCTCCCCAATGCACGTGTTTGACATTGACATCCCAGTGGTCGATGCCGCCGAAAATTCACTAAAAAAATTGCCGCCACCGCCGCCGCAGCTGTTCCGGCGTCGACCTCCGTATTACCTTACGTAATTAATTAATTTCGCCGTTAGGCTACCCACCTGCCAGATTTTTCTAATCCAATTTTTGAAATGCATTCTTTAAATCCTCCACCGTGCATTTCACATTGAGATGAACCCAACACGAAATTATGTTAAAGACAAGGTAACGTAGGGTGAACATGGAATTGGTTTTTAACAAGTCGAGCCATGATGTATACCTATAATTCGGTATTTTCAGGCAATCTGCTAATCGATCGCAGTTCGAGAATAGTCATCAAGATCAATCAAAAAATTTACCACCTCAGGCACCTCAACCACGTGCGCCATGACTTGAAATTACTTCCGTCACGTGGTACATAAATCTAGGGTTGCCATCCGATCGGATAGGATAGGATAGGATAAAAATTATCCTTATCCGATCGGATAAATTTATGACTCGGATAATCCGAGTCGGATAATCAGAAAATAATTATCCTATCCGACGGATAATTCGGATATCCGATCGGATAGGATAGGATAATTCAATTGACCCCATTTTTGATTGGAAATTCAAATTAATGTTCCATTCGTTTTATTTAAAGCAAAGTTTGAAATTTTGCTACAAATTACGATAAAGAATCGTCCAACGTAACCCCATCTTTAAGACATGCAAAATTGGTAGCATTATCTTTCACAGTGTCAGAGATAGCTTTCTCGAATTCACCTACTGCAGCAGGAATGGAGTTTAATTAGCATCAACAAACTTATTATTATAATGAGACAAGGTTTTAAACAATTTTGTTCGGGGATAAATCTATCGGACTTCGCAATAGATTATCTTAATAACAGTTCCTGATGGTACATATATACATTATCCATCAAAGAATCTTGCAACTTTTTCATTCCCGTCATGAATATAATTTTCATGCATGATAATTCAATACAATTGGAAATATAATACACTAATATATTACTTCCACGTTCAACTTGTAAAATACTGCCCAAAACATACCAAATTTGACATTTTTCAATTATCCGATATCCGTCGGATATCCGATAGACACCATCAGATAATCCGAGTTGGATAATTTGAAAAAATTATCCTATCCGTCGGATATCCGAATCGTATTTTTCCTTATCCTATCCGACATTATCCGATCTTATCCGATCGGATAATCTCGGATAAAACGGCAACCCTACATAAATCACTGGAATAAAACCTACAGTGCAGACTCCATATAGCCCGAGTCAGGGACATACTCCCTGACTCAATAAGTCAGAGCCTTCTAAAATTTTTTCCGAATTGAGCGACATAATATCACCAACTTCCGTGTTGCGGATGGTTAAAAGTTTGTTAGATAGTTTCTATTATTTGGTACCAAATTTTTGAATTATTTACAAATCATGTGCCTTGACCAGCATGACCAGTGGGCTTCTTTAACATCCTGAAGTTCTAAGATGTAATGTATGTGCTATCCAGCTATTCAGCCTCCATATCAAATTTCTGCTCGATATAACGATTTTGAAAAATCAGCATGGGTCGCCCCATAGGGTCACTCTGGTTGCACTTTGCTCACTTTTAACTTCATATTCTTTAATTAGAAGCCATTAAGTATCATTGTGCCGGATTTCATCTTTTTAAAGTAATTTCTAAAAATCGGTATGGGTTACGCCATAGGGTCGCTCCGGATAAAAATTTTACCAATATCACATCGTATTCTTTCATTAAGACCCATAAGCAACCTCTCCACCAAACTTCAGTTCGATATGATGGTTTTGAAAAATCGGTATGGGTCACCCCATAGGGTCACTCAAGATGAAAATCTTTCCAACTTGAAGTCATTTTTATCTCGTAGGAGCCATTAGCAACCTCTGTACCAAATTTCAGCTCTCTATAACAATTTTGAAATTTTGGTGCATAATACCCCACCCACTCCGATGACCCCCACCGGTCAACCACTTGACCGATTTCGCCCATCTTCGAACTCGATTCCTAACTTTGTCCAATATACATATGGTAAAAATTTCAAGTCAATCGGTTCAGCCGTTTTGGCTCTATCGTGACGGACAGACAGACGGACAGACAGACAGACGGAAGGACATGACGGTTCCATAAGCCCTGACTCGGGCTAAAAATATATTTCCCATCATTTTACAAAAAGTGTACCCGTAACAAAATAAATACGCATCACTTACTTATGACTTAATTCAGTTACTTTGCTCATTTACACGTATATCCTCCAGCGGATGTGAAGCATCCACATTTGGTACATTGTTCAAGACCGTTAGAAGAGTTAACGTCATCCACTATTGAATTCCTCTTGTCCGTCCGTCCGTCCGTCTGTTGACGAGTTTTTTGCATCAATTGATGCAAATTAAAAACTCACCCGTCCATTATCGCTAAACTTCGTAGCACCATTGGTATCGAACATTCAGTGATGCAAATGGTGCGAATCATTTGAACAAATCGATCCACCATGAACTTTCCTTGTCGTCTACAAATTCTTTAAATCATGTCAAAATTGTGTATCAATTTTCCCCATTTCTCCTGCACCATTAGTGCCAAATTATATCAAAATTATGTATCTCCGTTGTCCGCTTATTCTGCACCTATGATGCAAAACAATATCAAACTTGTGCCGACTTTCTCCCTTAATTTCGCGCCTTTGGTGCAGTTTCTTTCCGTCCTGACAAAAATCCGATATTGTGTCAAAATTAGATATTTGTTTTGTAGCCTTGGTCTGCACTATTGGTGTAGAATTATGTCAAAATTTTATACCCACTATCTACGGTGCATAGTTATATCAAACCATTGCTGCAGGGTGAGCTACTTCTAACGTTACTACGGTTTATTTGGGTTTCTGAAGGGCAATTATTAATGTACTCTACTGTAAATCAGAGTTGAGTCGGTTATCCGAATTTTGGATAAAGTATCCATCCGAACCGAATCCGAATCATTCGGTTCGGCTTGGATATTTTTTCAACCGAAAAATTCGGATTCGGTTCGGATGGATATTTTTTCAACCGAAAAATTCGGATTTGGTTCGGATGGATATTTTTTCAACCGAAAAATTCGGATTCGGTTCGGATGGATATTTTTTCAACCGAAAAATTCGGATTCGGTTCGGATGGATATTTTTTCAACCGAAAAATTCGGATTCGGTTCGGATGGATATTTTTTCAACCGAAAAATTCGGATTCGGTTCGGATGGATATTTTTTCAACCGAAAAATTCGGATTCGGTTCGGATGGATATTTTTTCAACCGAAAAATTCGGATTCGGTTCGGATGGATATTTTTTCAACCGAAAAGTTCGGATTCGGTTCGGATGGATATTTTTTCAACCGAAAAATTCGGATTTGGTTCGGATAGATCCGAAAAAATGTCCAACCGACTCAACTCTGCTGTAAATAACGTGGAGACAAATCGTCACCTGCGGTGGTACAATGTATTTTCGGGTGGTGAGTAACGAGTCGGTTTGTTTAAAAACTAGTAGAAATCATATCAAAGCAGGGTGAAATTTAGTGGGAAACGAAATTAAAATATAGCCAATTTTTCTTCTCCGTGAATAAATCCCTGCGTGGGAGTTAATGATGAATGGATCGTGATCTCCATCCAATTTACATACCTAACATGGTTTGGATTGTGGTATCATTACGTGTCGCCAGTTTGGTTCATAGAACGAATCATCGTCAAACATACATATGGGAAATATGCATAACTAAGCTTGATTTGATAAGGTGCTTATCAAATTGTCAATAAACTACCAGCGTGTGTGTACTTACTTACCGGTAATACTTACATTGATTGATTTTATTATGTTGACAGGATGTTGTCTGGACGATTGGATTTTATGGCTGGTTAAGAGTTTGATAAATACATACTCAAATTTTTATTTCCGGTCACCTCATTTGCAGACCTGGCCAAATTAGTAATTGACAATTACAATTACAAATTAGTAATTGTAATTTGTAATTTTAATTACTTCATTAAAGAAGTGTAATTGTAATTGTAATTTGTAATTGAACTAAATGTAATTGGTAATTTGTAATTTGTAATTGCACATTTCAACATGGTGTAATTGTAATTCAATTACTTCTTCAATTACAATTACTAAATCACCATCTATCGTGAGTAGAACACATCAAAAATCAACGTTTTTGTTAGATTTGTCGTATTTCATGCGTGAACATTTCACTGCCTTTCACTTTTTGAATCATTCTTTCACATTCGCAAATTTTTTAGTTACCATACATAAGAATTCATTACTAGGGTGTATTTTCATGCATAGGGGCCTTATGCATGAAAATAAGTAAATTCTACTAATTACGCAATTGAATTATAAGACAAATTACTAATAATTGAGATTTTTTAAATGAACATTCATCATTTACTATTCAAATAATTTCGATACTTGTTCACTTCGAACAATATACATACTGATAAATGCTTTTACTTGCAAAATTTGCCTTTGCAAATTAGTTTTTCTAGGTGAAAATTTTGATGTAACGGCATTTACATTGTTAAAAGCGAACAAATATTGAAATTATTTGACTATTAAATGATGAATTTTCATTAAGAAATCTCAAATGTAATTGTAATTTGTGATGTAATTCAATTACGTAATTTGTAATTGTAATTGAAGCGAAATTTTTTTAGAGATGTAATTGTAATTTGTAATTAGTAATTGAGTTTTCTTGAGTAATTGTAATTTGTAATTGTAATTGAAGCAATGTTGTGATTGTAATTGTAATTTGTAATTTGTAATTTGACTTCCAAGTAATTTGGCCAGCTCTGCTCATTTGCATATTTTGACGCATTCGTGAGAGTTTATTCCACATGGAAAGCTCGTATCGCCGAAAATGAGCATAGTGACATTTATATAAATAAGGTGCCAAGCCTAAGTCTGAGGATTGTACAACCATAATTTCAGAATCTGTTCGTATCCAAATATGCATTTTAGGCATTTCACGAAAAATCTGGTTACTTGCAAATTTTCAAATATTTATTGACTTAATTGTTGGCACAATTCATCATCCGTTAACATGATAAAGACGGACACATCACAATCGTATCGGGGGTATGCATGATAACCTTGTAACAGCGGTAAATCTTCCTTTGCAACATTACTTGTCAACTTTGAGATGATGGGAAAAACCTGGGATGCTAAAACAAATCGAAATAATTTATTTTTTGCGAAATATGCATGCGACGAAACGATGCATCTATTTTCGTCGAACATAAACTGTTGTTTTTGCTAACTCTTCGACAAGTGGAATTTTCATCAGAGTAAACTTTATTCTTCATCAAGTTAGCCTTACTCCGAATTTAGTACAGTTTAAATTCAGACTCTGAATTTCAGAGTGCATTTATTTATTTACATTTTGGAAGGGTTACAATACTTTTAGCAATGCACATACATACTAACATTAAATGATCAAGTTTTTTGTGAAAACGGGCAATTCCAATATTTACACACTGAAAAAATTTCGAAACATTTAAGGAAAAAATTTCACATGGTTGGCAAACATGCAAAGAGATAGTTGTGGTCTAACTTTTCCACTGGCATGAACTGCAGAGAGGCAGGAACCATTAAACTGCATATTTTGTATCCAACTAAACTCGGCAAAGTTCCACTGTTGAAATAATAGCTCCTCAGTTCCATTCACAGCACAAGGAATCACTACAACTGTACCTGTTCAATAAATATTTCTTCATTCAAAATTCTTTCAATTTTTGAAGAAATTATTCAATTACATATTATTCATTTATTCAAAACTTAAAAATGCATATTTTCTCAGGCGCAAATTGGCATTCTTAAATAATTAATACTGAATTATTCATTTTTTTTACTTATTTTGTCTCAAATTCGCCCTATTACACGGGTTTCTTGATACACCTCGTGTATTAAACATAGCGTAGAAAATGAAAAATGAAAACAATTATTCACTAATTCTTCATGAATATTGATCACACGAATAAATATGCATTCAATATTCATTCATTATTCATGAATTAATAGTGAATAAATATTTAACTTATTCATTCTACATTTGTTGAACAAATGAATATATCAATAAAAGTGTACCGTTGGAATACTCCGCACTCCGAGAAGCGAGACAATTGCCGCTCTTCACATTTTGAACGCCTCCGCCAAAAACTTTGTTCACAATCCACTTTTATTCCTCGTTAATATAACACGTTTCAAAAACGAGGTCTCCATTTTCATCAGACAGACACAAATTTGTTTTCCCAAAATCTTGATGAAGGCTAGGCTCGAAGACTTCTAATCGTCGAATTATAACATTACCTCCGTTAGTGTTATACCGTTGATTACTGGTTGATAAGCAGGGGTTCAAGTATATTCCGTTGTACCGGGTAGTCACACATTTCCCCGTCCGCTCATTAATAATACTCCCGTCCATGTGGAACCGCCATCTTTGGTAGTTTGAATAATCTGAGGTGCACGGCCGGCTGTACAGTCGTCCTAGCGTGTCTGACAGTCCATCCAAACAGCGTGCCGTTTCGAAACTCTGTATCGAATTGTTTACCCACATCCAGGTTCCGGAGGATGGCGTACAGTTGGTTTTCGTTATGAGGCCATCCACGTCTTGGAGGCAGGCCTGTTTTTAAAAAATAGTTCTTCATTCAAAATTCATTAATTTTACTAATTGGAAAAAATTATTCATTCATTTACAGCTTGAAAATTAATTAAGTGTTCATTACTCATTTTTCATTAAATGCAAATATTTGGAATTGGCCTTATTAGATATTAAATATTTAATAAATATATGCATTAAGCAGGAATAATGTATACCACTATTCATTCATTCTTCATGAATATGAAATGAATAAGTACCAATGAAGGCTCCATTTATTCAAAATTTTGGAAAAAATGTTCAGGCCTTAGTTGTAAATAATGAATGAACACTTTGTTCAGTCTTGAATAAATTCTTTAATCCGGTTTGAATAAATGAATATGAACAGGTATACTGGGACACAGACCTGATAGTGTTCGTCCATTAGAACGGATTTAACCCGAAGCCCATCTTTAGTTGGGAAGGGGGGTCTCAGAGAACCCCACAAATCGAATAGTTGCGAGACATGGTTTTCCACACAAGCTCCAAGTCGTACGGGATTGTACGGATGTTGGTGAAGAGTGAGACACCGGCCAGACTGGACATTCGAAATTGACTGATTTGAAGAAATCGTCCATTTTTGAGAGTCATCATTGTCCGCGCAGATGGTAGTGTTTAAAACTCCGGTGTCCGAGAGACATAATTTGGATTGGAGATTTTGAAAGGTCGCGTTTCCCTTGACGATCCAGATATCGGAGGGAAAGATGTTTTCAGTGATTTCGGACGCGTGGGATCTAACGTTTACTGGAACGCTGCGAGATCTGATGAGTCCACTTAGTTTGCGGTACTTTTCAATATCTGTTTGTAGTTGTTTAAATTGTATTTCTTAAATAAAGGTTTTTAAATCCGTGAAAGTATTTTTTTCTCATTTCGTTCTCAATTGAGTCGAATTAATTTGATATAAAAGATACATACTCCCGGCAACATCTTATTACGCTTTGCTCATTTATCATAGCAAACGAAGCTCACAAGTATGCGTCGCTATAGGGTATTCGCAATTCTCCCAAATTGTCTTCCAAAAACATATTTTCATGTTTTTTCAATGGATTTTTATAATTTCTCTGCGAGGTGGTTTTGCAAAAAATCTTGCGAAATAGAAACATGCCAAATTGTTTTGTAAAAAATCAATACATTTGCAGCAAAAGCTTTGAGGAATCTTTGGGCAAAATATAGACAAAATTTACGTCTCTATAGTCACCTCTTCTCATATGCGAGACCCATATGAGAAGGTTGACGTGAGCTCGGTAACGAGGTTAGAAGTCACGTCCATATATTACGTCATCAAATATGCAAAGATTTTTGGATCTCCCACCCACCCTTTCACTCACTCATGTTAAGTTTAGACGAGTAACATGGGCGACAGAAGACCGCCTCCCCACCCTTTTAGTGACATAATAAATATATGCAAGTTTCCCTACCAAAATAATAGCATACAATTGTACCTGTATCGGGTGGAAGTTTTTTGAGAATCATTTTAATCTGATAGACCACTAAGGAGCCGTACTCATTGGTAAAATTTGCTTGAAATTTGACAAGCAAATCCTCGATTTTGAACGGATTAATACGAAGAACTGACGTGTACAGGGGGCTGTAAGCTGAATAGTGCTTCGTTTGTAAAGGAAGGACCTCATAGTGTTCAAAAGTCGAATTTTCTAGCAGTACCGTGTCCCCGATTTTCCATTGTATGGCAGGTCTTGGGTTTGCGTAGAGGGTGTACATAATATCCACAGGTGCGCCAACTTGGGCAATGTGAGATTCCTGATCGCCACTTGACTTGGGGCTGACTGCGATAATTTTTGGGGTAATGCGTACAATGTATCTGATTAATTTAGAACACTACTCTCCATCCATCAGGTTTGAACTTTTACAGAAATTGAGAATTATGAGAAACTACGTCACTGTCAGTCTCACATTCCCCCGTCAGGATAGTTTATGTATATCATCTGGGACTGTGGATGAGCGTAGTTTCTCAGAATTCTCAATTTCTGGAAAAGTGTAAACCTGCGTGGATTCAGAGTACATTTCAAATAATTTGGAGATATGTAAATCATCACCCTCGAAGGTGCTATCGCGCTCTATTTTTGGGTAATGATTAAATGAACTGCCAACGGGAAATCGTGTATCAAGCACACGCGTCATCGTTCGTGAAGTATAATACTTTCATGCACCAAAATTTTAAATAACGACGTCACATGTGTTTGGGACAAACATTTGTGACTTACTTTCCCTTGGTGACGAAACATCACCGTAATCATTGCGAAAAAATATAACACTTTAGTACCACCGCAAGTGGCGATTTGTCTCCAAATTATTTATATGGTAACAGATTTTAGGTTTTTCAGACATAGTGTAGAAATGCTTACATAGAACTGTGATATTTGTTACTGCCTGGACCGCCAAAAGTGACGAAGGGTTCGGAACAGAATCGTGAATTAGGACGCATCTAAGGGCACGATTATTGTAGTTATGTGTGAAAAGCCGCAAAGGCATGGAGCGGGCAACGCAGGATTTGTTATAAGCTGGATCTTGAAATTTGACCTCTTCAGAATTATACGTTAGGTCGTGAGTGGCTGAAAATAATTTAAAACACGTCTCAGATGCATACATGTTCACTTTCATTCATTTGACTGATTATGACAGTGAATGAGAGTGGATTTCCTGTCATTTGATGAAGTTGATTGAAAGATTATGTCATTTCAGATGAATGACAGTGAATGGAAGGATGTCGCACTTTTAGCATTTTGCACCCTATGCTTAATACATGGGGCGAAGTAAGAAATGAAGTCGGATGAAGAGAAATGAAATGAATTTAAACAAGAATGACTGAATGTAAATGAAAATATTCAGCCAGACATCGGGATGACTGACTTTTGTATAAAAAAACCTTAAATGGACATGATCAGAGCTTCTTAATTATTATCTGGTTAATTTCATACCCACAAAAAATTTTAGCTTTGGAGTCGGAACACCACCACACGTGTGACAAATGATGCCTTCACACCTGGACCGGGTTGGATGCACGACCAGTGGGAGTTTTTCAAATTGTGGGGGTGACGGGTTCCCTGAAATATTTTTGTTGTGAAATTTAAACCCAGTCACACATTGTCGAGTTCAGAGCCACAGGTAAAAAAACATGAGATTCTCATCTTATTTTCGTGTGGCGGTAAGATCAGGCAGCGTGAAACGGAGTTTATGTGTATTCAAACTATTTTTATGCATGTATATACTTTAAGGCAGGAATATTTACATATTTTGTCAAACTTGTGTATCCATTTCTCCATGCGATCAAGGCTTTGCTCCAGGTGTTCCACAACTTGTTCCACTTTGTCGATGTGATTTTCTAAATTTGCAATCTTTTCGGACATCGGTACCTTTAAGAAAATCGGTACGACACAATGTACAGGGTGGTTTGAATGTTTCGCTACAATGGACAATTTCGCAAATGAGAAAGCCCTTAAATCTCGAAAGAATTTGGGATTGAGATTTTTATTACTTATTATCAAAACTGATGGAGCACTGATGACAAAATTCCTAAAATGTTGAATCTCAGATAAAGAGTTTTGGTAATGATAATTTACGCAAAGAATAATTTTCCTCATTGAAAATTTGTTCCATCTTAGTGAGACAGTTAACCACATTGTATGTACATATAAATACATTTTTAAAACATTAATTGTAGGCATTAGCGTCAATTTTGTTGTGTTTGCGAAAAGTTCCGACGCCACGACCAATCTGTTAAATGTAAAATAAGTTTATGTATGAAATTTATTGAATACGCGTCTACAATTGCCCCGTGTCGTGGTGGTGGTTGCCATGGAGACGACGGGGGTGGGATTTTTGGGTGCGCGTCTCTCTTTGTTAAGTCGTAGTAAGTAAGTAGGTAGAAGAATTCTACACAGTCGAGTTTTACTCGTTGTCAGAGTCAGACATTTTGGATTTTAGTCGTCGTGGTAGGCAATCAAGTTTAGAATTGTTAGTTCTTTTTTGCTGCACGATCAATTTATTATTAAAGTAAGTCATCAATCAACTCGTGTTGTTGCAGAGCTCTGAATTGTGTTGACCATCGTTTAATTGATTTAAATAAAATCTAGTTTAAGTAGATAAAATAATCGTATAATTCACTCAGTCACTTTCTTTAATTCCAACGAGCAAAGCACAATTAAATATAACGTAAAGACACTATACTCCGGGTAGGTGATAGCTTGGTTTTTACATTAGTGGTGACCTCGACGTGATTGCTCGTTGGGTCAGTTTTAGTTGAAAGTGGACTAGTTATAGTTGGTCAGTGAGTTGTGACCTTTTGAGTGAATGAGTTGTACGTGCAAAAGACTTCCGTGGAAATCCTGTGCGATTGTTGCTGTCTGGACGAGGAGCAGATTGAATTGGTGTACGTGCAAATGTGCTCCGTGGAAATCCTGGGCGATTGTTGCTGTCTGGACGAGGAGCAGATTCAAAGGAGAGGATCACATCAAGCCTTGCCTCATTGAGGACCCGACCCTGAGTATTCCGGGGTTGTTCAGGTGATACCTTTCAAGTTTTTATTGTTGCTGTGAAGTAGTCCGTGAGGAAGGAGTGACCGACCAGATTGAAATCGGCGTGTCCGACCCGAGAGGAACTTCAACTTTATTCGTCTATTACTCAATTACTGTCTTGCCTCGTTGAGGGCCCCATCCTGAGCGTTCGGGAGCCATAGAGGTCGGCATTGTTGCTGATTGAGTTGATTAACGTGTATTGTTCTAATTGTTTTTGTTTGTTGACTTCGAGATATCAACATGGATCGACTGAAGAAGGCGAGGACTCCTGTTCGAGCTTCCATAACAAAGACAATTGATGGTGCTGTTGCTGAGTTGGCGAAGGATCCACCGGACTCAAGAGAACTCACCATTAAATTACGGAAGTTGGAATCCCTGCAGTCATCGATCAGAGAACATGATGAGAAAGTGCTCACCCAGATGTTGGATGAAAATTGCACGGCGGAAGCTTACACGGAAGAGAGTGCAGCGAATGAAGAATATTCAGATAGAATCAAAGTTGCTATCATGGATATCGAGAATATTCTTTATGGAGAAACTCGTCCATCAAGTCCAAGTGCAAGAAGTAGCTACAACACGCCGAATGGAGAGCATGTGCATAGAAATAGGAATTTCAAACTGCCCAAGATCGAACTATAGAAGTACGATGGGAGTTGGAAAGATTGGTTGGGGTGGTGGGCGCAATACCGGCAAATTCACGAAGATGATGAGTTACAAGTAAACGTGAAATTCCAGTATTTGATCCAAGCTATCGTCCCCGGATCAGAAGCAGAGAAGGTTCAAGGAAAGTGTGACGATCCCGGTGCGACCTGTATTTGATGCCTCTTGCAAGACAAAAAGATATCCATCATTGAATGATTGTCTTCACAAAGGACCTAATCTTATGGAACTCATCCCGTCAGTTTTACTCAGATTTCGGGAGAAGAAGATTGGGGTCGTCTCTGATATTAGGAAGGCGTTTCAAATGATAGACGTACAGGAATCCGACAGGGATTATTTGAGATTCCTGTGGTGGGAGGACCCTGCCGGAAAGAAAATTAAAATTTACCGTCACTGTCGAGCTGTGTTTGGTGTTAACTGTTCACCCTTCTTGCTTGCAGCAGTCGTCGACATGCATCTATCATCAATTGTGGATGGACGACAAGAAGAAGCCCTGAAACTGATGGGAGCACTATACGTGGACAATTGTGTCACGTCAGTCGACAGCGTGGACGAGTATGAAACATTCAAAGTGACTTCAACCAAGATTATGGAAGAAGCGAAGATGGAGTTGAGACAGTGGGAATGTAGTGTTGTGGGGGTTCCCGGAGTCGGCTCGCCTGCCATGAGGGGGTGCGGATTGGGAGACGGCAACACTGACACTCCACAGGAGTCAAGAATACTCCCTACAACAATGGTACTTGGTCTAATTTGGGACAAGTATGAAGATACGCTGTCCTGTGACATAAAGATGGACAATCGCCCGGATAAGTTTACCAAGAGGAGCGTGCTGTCCATGGTTCATAAAGTGTACGATCCCATCGGTTTCAGTTGTCCAGCCTTAATAAAGCCGAAGATGTTGTTACAGAAGGCGTGGGAGAGGAAGACCGGATGGGACGAACCATTACCTATGGAGGAGGCGAAGGAATTCAAGAAATGGTGCGAGGAGCTACCTCACCTAAAATCAATTCACCTCCCACGGTTTATGAAATTAGAAAGTACACGTGTATTGCAGATGCATGTGTTTTGTGATGCGAGTCAAGATGCATATGCTGCTGTCGTGTTTCTTCGCAGCGAAGTTGGGGATCAAGTGGAGATAAGCCTCCTTCAAGCAAAGGCAAGGGTGGCTCCTTTGAAGAAACCAACAATTCCAAGACTCGAGTTAATGGCTGCGTTAATTGGGGTGCGACTTTGTGAATCTGTCAAGAGTGCACTCAATTATGAGACCATCCCCACTACATATTGGAGTGACTCAACCACCGTGCTGGCGTGGATTCGAGGTAACGAAAATTGGGGGACTTTTGTTGGAAACAGGGTACGAGAAATTTGCACGTATACGGATTCTAAGAAATGGAGACATGTTCCGGGTCTTCTCAACCCTGCTGACCTACCATCACGTGGATGCAATGCTAGAGAATTGCTACAGTCAGGATGGTGGATGGGGCCTGATTGGCTCAAAGAATCAGAAGAAACTTGGCCTCACTCAGATGAAGTTATGGACGAGGAGGAAATTAACCAAGAAATGAAGAAATCCAGCAGTGTTGACTTGGCTGGTACTACCGCCGTCGAGATAATTCCAGATCCGAGATTCTCTACCTACGTGAAGAATGTTGCAGTAGTTGGCTGGCAGCGTCGTTTTGTGGAGAATACTCGTGTACCAAAAGAAGACAGGATCATGAAGAACTATCTGACAGTCCAGGAATTAAGAGAAGCTGAAATAGTTTTGCTGAGAGAAATTCAGGCTAGCTTCGTGGACAAATTCCAGACTGGTGGCGGAGTAAAAGTGCAAAAAATGGAAGATGGACTTTTGCACGTTAAGACAAGACTTCTCAATCGAGTGGATTCTGAAGAATTCAAGATGCCTATATTACTTCCAAAATCCCATCGGATGGTGCTACAATTGATTCGAGATGCACATCGGAACTATTGTCATGCTGGTGTTCAGTTCATCATGGGGAAGTTACGAGAGAAGTATTGGATCTTGCTAGCTAGGAAGACGATCAGAAGTGTCATTCATAATTGTTCCACGTGTAGAAGATTCGAATCCAAGAAGGTCGAGGTGGAAGAAGCTGCTCTACCAGAGAAGAGGGTCGCTGCGACCGAGCCATTTCAGACGACAGGTGTAGACCTGGCTGGACCACTCTACCTTAAAGATGGATCGAAAGTGTGGATCGCTTTGTTTACTTGTGCTGTGTTCAGAGGAATACACGTGGACTTGATCACCTCACTGAGCACTGAAGCATTTTTGGAATCTTTGGAAAGATTCATTAACCAATGTGGACGTCCCAATAAAATTTATAGTGACAATGGGACTAATTTTGTTGGAGCCGTCAATCTCTTCAAGTCACTGGATTGGACCAAGATCGAGAAAGAAAGTCAAGTGAAGAGAATCCAGTGGATCTTGAACCCACCCACGGGAGCGTGGTGGGGCGGATGGTGGGAGCGACTGATCAGATCGATTAAGGATCTTTTGAAGAGGATGCTGGGGCGAGCCAGGCTGACCTGTGACCAGTTGAGGACCTGTCTCTCTTCTGCAGCAGCCGTCATCAATAGTCGTCCCTGACAACCGTGAATAAGGATGAAGACGATCTCATTCCTTTGACACCAGTAATGTTCATGAGAGGAGCATTAACGTGTAATTTTCCTGAAAGTATGGAAATCGGATCAAGAGAGTTGCAGTCTCATTACAAAAGGACAAGGAGACTACAACAAGACCTTCAAGCAAGATTTAGGAAGGAATATCTCGGTCAATTGGTCCAGAAAGCGAATGAAAAGAAGGCACGACAACTTCAAGTTGGAGATGTTGTCTTAGTTGGTGCTGATAACAAGAAGCGTTTTGACTGGCCGATGGGGCGAATTATGGAGCTTATCCCAGGAAAGGACGGAGTGTGCAGAGTTGCGAATGTCAAGACGTCGAAAGGAACACTCAAGAGACCACTGCAACGACTCTATCCATTGGAAATCGCTTCCCCCAAGGCAGCAGCGTTACCTATTTCAAGACCCTCACTGGACTCCAAGCAGAAGAAGCAAGTCCAGAATAAACCGGAAGTTGATACTATCGATGAAGAGATAGTGACCAAGTCAGGGAGGATCTCTAAGAAACCAGTTAGATATTCGCGGTGGAATTTTTAGATTACTCGTATAGTTTAATTGGATTTAATATTTATGATTTTTTCTTAGGGTAGTTCTTTTGCTCTCACAAAAGAATGTGGGAGGATGTTAAATGTAAAATAAGTTTATGTATGAAATTTATTGAATACGCGTCTACAATTGCCCCGTGTCGTGGTGGTGGTTGCCATGGAGACGACGGGGGTGGGATTTTTGGGTGCGCGTCTCTCTTTGTTAAGTCGTAGTAAGTAGGTAGAAGAATTCTACACAGTCGAGTTTTAGTCGTTGTCAGAGTCAGACATTTTGGATTTTAGTCGTCGTGGTAGGCAATCAAGTTTAGAATTGTTAGTTCTTTTTTGCTGCACGATCAATTTATTATTAAAGTAAGTCATCAATCAACTCGTGTTGTTGCAGAGCTCTGAATTATGTTGACTATCGTTTAATTGACTTAAATAAAATCTAGTTTAAGTAGATAAAATAATCGTATAATTCACTCAGTCACTTTCTTTAATTCCAACGAGCAAAGCACAATTAAATATAACGTAAAGACACTATACTCCGGGTAGGTGATAGCTTGGTTTTTACAATTACACTATTTACCTTCCATTTTTAATTCGTTTTAAGAATTAGTGCTTCTGTATGACGACGGCAGCAAAAGATATATCCTTAATTCAACTCATATTTAACAAGAATTTTGATTGTATTGTGCTTAATTTCACTTCTCTTTCAGCCTAACCAAGTCGTCGTGCACGGCATGAAAATGTTACAGTTAATTATCTTACAGTCAAACGGGTTATACATATATTCATATCAAACAAAGACCTTTCGGAGATTATGATAGGAATAGATGTGCGTTTGAGCTAGACACTTATTAAGTTCAATTGACTTTGCAAAAAAATATGACAATCGAAGAGCTTGCAGCGCCGAAAAATTATTGTTCGTCGATTTCGGCTTTCTCGTCAGGTCCCACGTTAAAGTTTAGCTTCTACCTTAAAACAATATTTTTTTTTAAATAAAAACGTCAGCATTCAAATTGCAGTTAAATAATAACAATTAGTAGAGTTTACACATATTAATATACCTAAATCAAGAAATTTTAAGTAGTCCCTTCCTATAAAAATAGTAAGTAAAACAACTAGAAATTGAAATTAAGAATGTTGTATATTAGAAAATTAAACTTCCCGGAATAATTTAACCGATTGAAGGAACGCTACCTGCCACGCGACATAAATATTGCATACTTCGTCGCAAGCAGATTGGCTTCGGCGGGTTAGTATACTAATTATCGAAGACAATTATGCTTAAAACATAGTTAAAGGTTAGCATTATTAGGAAAAACAAAATTCGCATGTTAATTAAATATTTCACTCGAAAATTTACTTGCAAACTCGCTTATCTAAGTATTTAAATCACTAGAATTTAGTTCGTGGCGTCTGGATCACTGGTTAATTCATTAGTCTAGATTTTCCCAGATGTTTATAAATATTACGAAACTTATAGTATTTCTGCCAAGTAAATTAAAAATCAATCAATTTGTTAATTTAGGTTTTAGAAAAAGTAATGCATGTAACAATTAGTCATAATCTTATTAAAAAGATAGATATATATTTTCAGTCGTCACTTAAATGCCCACTCTTAAAAGCTATAAATTAAGTTCTAAACTTAACAACAAGCACAACAAAATACGCAATACATAAATCATTGCAGCGTTAAGCACAAAAAAACGTATATGTACGTAAATCTAAATTGGACGACCGCTTGACAAAAATATTAAGTACAATTTGTATAATCACGTATGTATCAAGCATATTTACATACATACATAGATTCATATCCAAATTTGAACCGCAATCTTTGTGTTCAATATATATATACGTATTGCAGTGAATTTGGCTTGGATACTTACATACATACAGAATACCAGAATATCAGTACACGTTTAAATTCATTACTTTGTGTCTATCCCTAGTAAATTCATTTCAAAACATTTCATTACTTCTTCACGTCACGTCAGACAGTGTAATCATTAAGGCAATAAAGTCAAGTTAAAATGCAGTCAATCATGGTTCACGATTGACACCCCGTTTTATGACCAAATACATGTACGACATTTTTATATCCGATTTGCACAACATAAAATTTATTGCAAACACGCGTCACATAAATCAAATTAATTCTTGGTAATATTTTTCACTTCGTCTTTTTCCTACATATGTAATAATGCTAACAATATTCTTCAGGATATGTACAAAGCACATACATATATGTATAGCTGTATAAAGTATGTAAGCATTGTATAATACAGGCCATAAATTCGTTCATGATCTGCGATTCTAAAAAAATTGATAATAGAAATTTTCCACGCTTTATACCCTCAACATAACCAGTATAAAAGTGACGGCATCACCACGAAATCACCACAAATTTAAAAGCAAAATACATATATTTACAGTGCACAATTTAAAATGTTTCGTTTAATATTAACATTACTGCCAATTTTATTCAACCAAATACACTCGGAATTGGTAATCGAAACCAGACAGGTACATACATACATACATAAATAAATAACCAAGAATTCACGTCACTCAAACGTGTCGCTGGGCGGCACAACTTGACAACTTTGCGAAATAAGTGTTATCAACAGTGTGTTTCAAATACAAATATAGAGAAAAACGGTAAAAGACTGAGGGAAGGAATTAAAATCCCATTTGCAAAACTAAATGTGTAGATTTCGTTTCATGTCGCATATTTTGTTAAAAAAAGATACTGTAAAAAACCAAGCTATCACCTACCCGGAGTATAGTGTCTTTACGTTATATTTAATTGTGCTTTGCTCGTTGGAATTAAAGAAAGTGACTGAGTGAATTATACGATTATTTTATCTACTTAAACTAGATTTTATTTAAGTCAATTAAACGATAGTCAACATAATTCAGAGCTCTGCAACAACACGAGTTGATTGATGACTTACTTTAATAATAAATTGATCGTGCAGCAAAAAAGAACTAACAATTCTAAACTTGATTGCCTACCACGACGACTAAAATCCAAAATGTCTGACTCTGACAACGACTAAAACTCGACTGTGTAGAATTCTTCTACCTACTTACTACGACTTAACAAAGAGAGACGCGCACCCAAAAATCCCACCCCCGTCGTCTCCATGGCAACCACCACCACGACACGGGGCAATTGTAGACGCGTATTCAATAAATTTCATACATAAACTTATTTTACATTTAACATCCTCCCACATTCTTTTGTGAGAGCAAAAGAACTACCCTAAGAAAAAATCATAAATATTAAATCCAATTAAACTATACGAGTAATCTAAAAATTCCACCGCGAATATCTAACTGGTTTCTTAGAGATCCTCCCTGACTTGGTCACTATCTCTTCATCGATAGTATCAACTTCCGGTTTATTCTGGACTTGCTTCTTCTGCTTGGAGTCCAGTGAGGGTCTTGAAATAGGTAACGCTGCTGCCTTGGGGGAAGCGATTTCCAATGGATAGAGTCGTTGCAGTGGTCTCTTGAGTGTTCCTTTCGACGTCTTGACATTCGCAACTCTGCACACTCCGTCCTTTCCTGGGATAAGCTCCATAATTCGCCCCATCGGCCAGTCAAAACGCTTCTTGTTATCAGCACCAACTAAGACAACATCTCCAACTTGAAGTTGTCGTGCCTTCTTTTCATTCGCTTTCTGGACCAATTGACCGAGATATTCCTTCCTAAATCTTGCTTGAAGGTCTTGTTGTAGTCTCCTTGTCCTTTTGTAATGAGACTGCAACTCTCTTGATCCGATTTCCATACTTTCAGGAAAATTACACGTTAATGCTCCTCTCATGAACATTACTGGTGTCAAAGGAATGAGATCGTCTTCATCCTTATTCACGGTTGTCAGGGACGACTATTGATGACGGCTGCTGCAGAAGAGAGACAGGTCCTCAACTGGTCACAGGTCAGCCTGGCTCGCCCCAGCATCCTCTTCAAAAGATCCTTAATCGATCTGATCAGTCGCTCCCACCATCCGCCCCACCACGCTCCCGTGGGTGGGTTCAAGATCCACTGGATTCTCTTCACTTGACTTTCTTTCTCGATCTTGGTCCAATCCAGTGACTTGAAGAGATTGACGGCTCCAACAAAATTAGTCCCATTGTCACTATAAATTTTATTGGGACGTCCACATTGGTTAATGAATCTTTCCAAAGATTCCAAAAATGCTTCAGTGCTCAGTGAGGTGATCAAGTCCACGTGTATTCCTCTGAACACAGCACAAGTAAACAAAGCGATCCACACTTTCGATCCATCTTTAAGGTAGAGTGGTCCAGCCAGGTCTACACCTGTCGTCTGAAATGGCTCGGTCGCAGCGACCCTCTTCTCTGGTAGAGCAGCTTCTTCCACCTCGACCTTCTTGGATTCGAATCTTCTACACGTGGAACAATTATGAATGACACTTCTGATCGTCTTCCTAGCTAGCAAGATCCAATACTTCTCTCGTAACTTCCCCATGATGAACTGAACACCAGCATGACAATAGTTCCGATGTGCATCTCGAATCAATTGTAGCACCATCCGATGGGATTTTGGAAGTAATATAGGCATCTTGAATTCTTCAGAATCCACTCGATTGAGAAGTCTTGTCTTAACGTGCAAAAGTCCATCTTCCATTTTTTGCACTTTTACTCCGCCACCAGTCTGGAATTTGTCCACGAAGCTAGCCTGAATTTCTCTCAGCAAAACTATTTCAGCTTCTCTTAATTCCTGGACTGTCAGATAGTTCTTCATGATCCTGTCTTCTTTTGGTACACGAGTATTCTCCACAAAACGACGCTGCCAGCCAACTACTGCAACATTCTTCACGTAGGTAGAGAATCTCGGATCTGGAATTATCTCGACGGCGGTAGTACCAGCCAAGTCAACACTGCTGGATTTCTTCATTTCTTGGTTAATTTCCTCCTCGTCCATAACTTCATCTGAGTGAGGCCAAGTTTCTTCTGATTCTTTGAGCCAATCAGGCCCCATCCACCATCCTGACTGTAGCAATTCTCTAGCATTGCATCCACGTGATGGTAGGTCAGCAGGGTTGAGAAGACCCGGAACATGTCTCCATTTCTTAGAATCCGTATACGTGCAAATTTCTCGTACCCTGTTTCCAACAAAAGTCCCCCAATTTTCGTTACCTCGAATCCACGCCAGCACGGTGGTTGAGTCACTCCAATATGTAGTGGGGATGGTCTCATAATTGAGTGCACTCTTGACAGATTCACAAAGTCGCACCCCAATTAACGCAGCCATTAACTCGAGTCTTGGAATTGTTGGTTTCTTCAAAGGAGCCACCCTTGCCTTTGCTTGAAGGAGGCTTATCTCCACTTGATCCCCAACTTCGCTGCGAAGAAACACGACAGCAGCATATGCATCTTGACTCGCATCACAAAACACATGCATCTGCAATACACGTGTACTTTCTAATTTCATAAACCGTGGGAGGTGAATTGATTTTAGGTGAGGTAGCTCCTCGCACCATTTCTTGAATTCCTTCGCCTCCTCCATAGGTAATGGTTCGTCCCATCCGGTCTTCCTCTCCCACGCCTTCTGTAACAACATCTTCGGCTTTATTAAGGCTGGACAACTGAAACCGATGGGATCGTACACTTTATGAACCATGGACAGCACGCTCCTCTTGGTAAACTTATCCGGGCGATTGTCCATCTTTATGTCACAGGACAGCGTATCTTCATACTTGTCCCAAATTAGACCAAGTACCATTGTTGTAGGGAGTATTCTTGACTCCTGTGGAGTGTCAGTGTTGCCGTCTCCCAATCCGCACCCCCTCATGGCAGGCGAGCCGACTCCGGGAACCCCCACAACACTACATTCCCACTGTCTCAACTCCATCTTCGCTTCTTCCATAATCTTGGTTGAAGTCACTTTGAATGTTTCATACTCGTCCACGCTGTCGACTGACGTGACACAATTGTCCACGTATAGTGCTCCCATCAGTTTCAGGGCTTCTTCTTGTCGTCCATCCACAATTGATGATAGATGCATGTCGACGACTGCTGCAAGCAAGAAGGGTGAACAGTTAACACCAAACACAGCTCGACAGTGACGGTAAATTTTAATTTTCTTTCCGGCAGGGTCCTCCCACCACAGGAATCTCAAATAATCCCTGTCGGATTCCTGTACGTCTATCATTTGAAACGCCTTCCTAATATCAGAGACGACCCCAATCTTCTTCTCCCGAAATCTGAGTAAAACTGACGGGATGAGTTCCATAAGATTAGGTCCTTTGTGAAGACAATCATTCAATGATGGATATCTTTTTGTCTTGCAAGAGGCATCAAATACAGGTCGCACCGGGATCGTCACACTTTCCTTGAACCTTCTCTGCTTCTGATCCGGGGACGATAGCTTGGATCAAATACTGGAATTTCACGTTTACTTGTAACTCATCATCTTCGTGAATTTGCCGGTATTGCGCCCACCACCCCAACCAATCTTTCCAACTCCCATCGTACTTCTATAGTTCGATCTTGGGCAGTTTGAAATTCCTATTTCTATGCACATGCTCTCCATTCGGCGTGTTGTAGCTACTTCTTGCACTTGGACTTGATGGACGAGTTTCTCCATAAAGAATATTCTCGATATCCATGATAGCAACTTTGATTCTATCTGAATATTCTTCATTCGCTGCACTCTCTTCCGTGTAAGCTTCCGCCGTGCAATTTTCATCCAACATCTGGGTGAGCACTTTCTCATCATGTTCTCTGATCGATGACTGCAGGGATTCCAACTTCCGTAATTTAATGGTGAGTTCTCTTGAGTCCGGTGGATCCTTCGCCAACTCAGCAACAGCACCATCAATTGTCTTTGTTATGGAAGCTCGAACAGGAGTCCTCGCCTTCTTCAGTCGATCCATGTTGATATCTCGAAGTCAACAAACAAAAACAATTAGAACAATACACGTTAATCAACTCAATCAGCAACAATGCCGACCTCTATGGCTCCCGAACGCTCAGGATGGGGCCCTCAACGAGGCAAGACAGTAATTGAGTAATAGACGAATAAAGTTGAAGTTCCTCTCGGGTCGGACACGCCGATTTCAATCTGGTCGGTCACTCCTTCCTCACGGACTACTTCACAGCAACAATAAAAACTTGAAAGGTATCACCTGAACAACCCCGGAATACTCAGGGTCGGGTCCTCAATGAGGCAAGGCTTGATGTGATCCTCTCCTTTGAATCTGCTCCTCGTCCAGACAGCAACAATCGCCCAGGATATCCACGGAACACTTTTTGCACGTACACTAATTCAATCTGCTCCTCTTCCAGACAGCAACAATAGCACAGGATTTCCACGGAACAGTCTTTTGCACGTACAACTAATTCACTCAAAAGATCACAACTCACTGACCAACTATAACTAGTCCACTTTCAACTAAAACTGACCCAACGAGCAATCACGTCGAGGTCACCACTAATGTAAAAACCAAGCTATCACCTACCCGGAGTATAGTGTCTTTACGAATATTTAATTGTGCTTTGCTCGTTGGAATTAAAGAAAGTGACTGAGTGAATATACGATTATTTTATCTACTTAAACTAGATTTTATTTAAATCAATTAAACGATGGTCAACACAATTCAGAGCTCTGCAACAACACGAGTTGATTGACGACTTACTTTAATTATAAATTGATCGTGCAGCAAAAAAGAACTAACAATTCTAAACTTGATTGCCTACCACGACGACTAAAATCCAAAATGTCTGACTCTGACAACGACTAAAACTCGACTGTGCTGACTATTCCTACTTACTTACTTACTACGACTTAACAAAGAGAGACGCGCACCCAAAAATCCCACCCCCGTCGTCTCCATGGCAACCACCACCACGACACGGGGCAATTGTAGACGCGTATTCAATAAATTTCATACATAAACTTATTTTACATTTAACAGTAACAATAAGTTTACAATTGGAGCTATTTTATTGAAGTTAGTAATAATTCATTTAATATAATGAGATGAGAGCCAAGATATACGTACATATATATTTACTCATTTACGTGTACCTGCATATTTATGTAAAATTGGAAATGAATAGGTGCGAAAAAACAATAAAATATTATCCGAAAGGTCAATTTATTTGGAGATGGCTAAAATCGCTTTATATTTATTACGAATGATCTAATTCTTAAATTCAACGTCGTAAAATGTCCGTTTTACTTTTCCTATCTCAGAAAAAAACGGGGCCTTAGCTAGATAATTATATAAGAAGGTAAGCAATTCTGGAAAATTTTTTATGAAGTAATTTCCATAACTTTCGTCCGTGTCGCCAAACACATCCGTAAGTTTACGACCGGCCTTACTCTGCTCCCATTCACCTACGTGCTCGTCCTTATCCCGAATAAACGCGATAAGCGAGCGAAGTGACCCAGCATCATAGCCGTTTTTGTGGGTAGAAAATTCTAGAAGATGCTCCCTCACTTCAGGGGAGAGTCGCATTTTCCAGTTAACGTGGCCACTTTGGAACTGTGCCATAAAATATTCATCGTAATCTCGATCTAGCTGAACTCGATGTTCTTGCTTTACACCCTTGAGACCTTCTGAGACACGATGGATGAATTCCAGGAAATATTTCCCACTCCAGAAAAATGGATGAGTTTTGATTTGCTTAATATCAGGTCTTTCCTCCGGATTTTTAGACAGCATCGGTTCCAACAAACTCTTCATGGACCATTCATATTGATTCCCTTCGATATGGCACCACTGCGGTTTTTTCTCTTCTGACCAAATGTTTTCTTGCAATTTTATGTTGGATTCGTTCCCCATTTCCTCGTAAGCATGACGATGATTGTTGGACATAGTTTTAAAAATAATTAAACCGAAAGAAAAAATATCACCGGAATGCCTGTATTCCGAGCTTTCCAAAGGTCTCTTTGGGGTTTCGGGTGGCATCCAACCAAATGAACCAGTCATTGTTACTGTATGACCCACTTTTTCGGTCGAACGTAGGACACGGCTTAACCCAAAGTCAGCAATTTTGGCGATGCCCTCATCAAAAAGTAAAATATTACTGGGTTTAAGATCACGATGAATGATAGCCTTGTCGTAGAGATACGATAATCCTGAAGCTGTATTTCGCATAAAATGTAGAAGCTGATCTAGCGAGCTATATGTTTTCCCTGTCAGTACATCTTCCAACGTCCTGTTACCAAGTTCCATCGCAATAAAGTAGACATTAATTTTCTTGAAATTAGCATTAATTTCATTTTTTTCCGTTGCAAAATAACGGATGACATTGTCGTGCCGCAGCGAGCGAAGAATCTCAACTTCCCTCTCAATTTGCTCTTCGTGCACTATTTTCGATGGTGGAATTTGTTTGATGGCAGCTTTACAGTCCGGTTTTTCGAAGTAGCCCCTGAAAACGTGACCCATTCCACCTATACCAAGTACCTGGTCGGGAAAGTAGAAAATTGAGTTCTTGACGCGGGTGATATTAGAATTTCCTGCACCAATATTCGTGACGGGAACGACTTGCGCATCCGCTACTATTAAAATGAGGAAATTACTTATATTAAAATCCTGCACATATATATTTTAATTTATTATTTATGCAGTTACCGTCATTGTTTACACGTTTAAGAAAATTATCCTGTTGTCCATGCACCACATTATTATCACTTCGTGTTAGACTATTATGCGAACCTTGTATCTCCAGTGACGTTGAGGGCACTTGTTGCGCTGACGGACTGGGTGCATTAAAATGTGCTGAGGTTGTAGATAGTTGACTTAGGTCCGCATTGTATTTAGCCATTATTTTCTCGCACGCATCATTTCTTGCATCCTTCGTGGATTGTTTCACTGGTGACGATGAAAACCCTTGCTCTATAGAATTTAAGAGAAACAACTTTGAGCCAAGATAATTAACTAATGTGTATATAAATACATAAATAAATGCTGGCCCACCTCGGTACTGCTTTTCAGTTTGTCTGCTAAAATAGTTTATAGTAGTGACATATCTACCGTCATTAGTGGGGATTGGTTCTTCAATAGAAAATTTATTACACTTGTTGGGTGGTTGCCGGTATTCCTTCTGTATTATCAAATTTAGTTGTGATATGTAGTCAATCTTAGAAGGTGGTGTGCCAGATATAGAGTTACTTGGGACTGACATTTTGTATACAATTATTTGGAGAAAAAATATATAACCATATGGTAAATTTATTGTTAAGTAGAATAGCAAGACAACGGGGAGCAAATGAGTACAAAATGGTAAATTTGCATTATCATGGTGTAGATAAGATAGCGAATGCAAAGTTGAGGCATGCATTTATCTCTTTTATTTGTACTCATGCATATATATTCAAATACAAATGTTGATCCTGCTGTAAAAACATCAGTTAAGGACGGCCGGAAAATTCACTTTTACCATGCAATGATAGTATGGGACTTTAATTTTCATCTGCAGAAATCTACATATAACGCGTCATTTAAAGCCAACCCCGAGCGAAATCGAATAAGAAATGAAAAAATTTTCTTGGTGGAATCTGCAACCAGTTACACACGTTACTTATGACGGTTCTTCATTACTTATCATAAATACCGGGTTTCCATTAGCAATCTGCACAATAGAAACAAGTAACACTTGTAATTACGTACTTACTTGCGTATTTAAATATGTGCCTTTACATGTGTGTATATGGGACGTTCATAAACTTCATAACGCAGTTTTGGTTTTTTAGACACCCACCCTCCCCTATGTCACGCTGGTTTCACGGAAAATTGGTACTTGGTACAATATAAACCCAGCTTTGAGTCTGATATGTTTCGACTCTTAGAAACAATGCAAGTCAATCACAGTTGTTCCATTTCTCAGAAGTGAGTCCTACACCCACCCATTGACTACCATTCACCTACATACATGTTTGACCCTAACTATTTCTTTCAATATTGGGAAAAAATGGGAGTCGATAAAGAATTCCAAATCTTCGATTATTTTATGATGCAGTAGTTTGGGTCCAAAAATGCAATCATCTAGACGAAGGTCTCTATATATATACGTTCATTAACATTACCCAATGCAAAATGCAAAATTATTTAATTTATTCCGTTGTCTTTATTTCCAGGACGCAGTATGCTATTATATATGGCATCTGAATAAAAATTAGCATCAATTAAAGCTAACGTTCCCATTGTGCTTCGCTAAAAACTTGGCCAAAGTTGAGGTGGTGCCTCCTTGCAACTGAAAATTAACCAAGCAAACAATATAATAAATATTCAATAAGTATATTACAACTTTATCAACTTGCCTTGAATTGGAGATTTTCCAAAAAAACGTGTCCGATAAGGGGAAATTTCACTTCATCGATATCCCCTCCATCATCCACAACTGCCTTACCCGTCAAGTCCACAAGTCTTAAACTTTTCAAGCCTACAAATTCACAAGAATCATTTACACAAGGAAAAAATTCCTCTCCTCATTTTTCAGCTAACCATTAAACTGAGGCAATGAGGTGGCGAAAATCCATTCTTGTAGAGACAGTGGCCAGTCTAATCGAACAATTATTTTTTGGTGTCGGATTAGAAACATGACAAATTTTGGGCGGCCAACATAATCTTCAGGAACGCTGTGCTTATCATGGCTAAAACCAATTCTTTGGCACAGTTTTACGTCGCTAGCTGGCATTAATCCCGAGTCCTTGGTTTGTCCATTATAGAACTTATTTATTGAGAGAAATGTGCACTTCCCTAGCACAGTGGTGGCAATTCTTTCCTAACCTTTGCAAACACTTCGACACACTTTTAAATCGGATGCAGACAAAAATCCGAAAATATGGTCAAGAACCTACATACATACGTATCGCGGTGATTTTATTCTTTTCGCTGATAATTAACTTTATGAAAGGCTTTTATTTGAGTACATATTTAACGTACCTCAGGAATTAGAAGAGCCTGGTGAACTACGATTTCGTCTGTTTCGCTGTTATTCATCACCTCAGTTTCTGAAAAATCTTTGGCGTTCTTGACGTCGCACAACATTCCTTCGTCGGACGCCTGATCCATCTCATTTGCGAACTTGTTTAACAGTTTTTTATTACTACACTCAAAACAAAAATTTGTCAAATCAACACCGCCGGTGTCAATATATGACTTAACCGCCTTGGTTACAATGTTGATTCCGAGTTATGATGATTTTGATACCGGTAGTATAATGTTATGACCGGGCGGAAAAAATTCAGTACTACTCGGAATCACAATTGTAACCAAGGCGGTTAAGTCGAAATTATGGTCACATTCGGTGACAACGGAAAAGTCATCAACATATGTATGTACATTAAACGAAATATTCTCTTTTATTCACGTCAAATTCCTTAAAATCGAAAGAAGTTTTTATGATGTTACTACAAAAGTAAATGTATTCTAACTTCTAAATCGACTTCTGTATAAACAAAATTATACTAAACTATAGTAAAGTAAATTTAATACAGGATTGAGAGTGGATTTAGAAAGTAAAGTAAAGTTCTTAAAAGTGCATGACGAATTTTTGCTGAACACAAGCAAATTAATCTTATTTACATAGCAGGTAACGATTTTGGACATATATCACACATACATACGTACATATGCATGCATTACGTAAAATGTCTGATACGCAGGATAATATATCGTCATTAAATCAACACGAGGTTAACAACTTACAATAAATTTTTGCATTTAGATAAAAATGACATTCTCCTTCGTCAAAAGTCCCATAATCCAGCTAATATTATGTAACACGTAAGATGAGAATGACCACACAACTAAACAATAGATATTCAATTTACATATTTATGCACACAGGACAACGTGAAATTGCACAATAATTTTATCATGGTACCCACTTTCGCATTAAATATGCAAAAATGTATATCTTGTTCCATGCCAAATTTGCATGCCCATGTTGCATGCACAAGATCCACTCGTTCTAGATAAAGACAACACAAACTTTGTTAACCGTGACATTCTTCTCGTGGAGACAAATTAGCGAGGAACAATAATTAAAATTCACTAATTAATGTTGTAAATTAACAAAAGACAAGTTACGATTACATAAAAATGCAAAATAAAATTTCCTAAGCAAAAAATTAAAAACAAAATTCCAAATTTTAGAAAAATTTTGCAGTGACAACGCAATTAAACAATGTGAATAAATATCTAATGCAGCTTGGACAAATGCAGTTGCATAATAATTTTTTTATGATTAGTTTTGCTTCTTACTTTCATATTAAATGCATATATACATACTTTAAGCACAATTTTCATGGACAAGTTTCACCCCGAGGTCCACTCGTTCCATATAAAGACAAGCCAAGCGATGTCCACCTTTTCATTGTTCTCGTGGAGCCAAGCCCTGCAGGAACACGACAATCTTGATTAAACTTGACCAATAATTATAGTGTTAGTAAACCATTACGATCAATCATGGAAAATAAAATTTCGTAAGGAAAACTTTTAAAAAGATTTTAGGAAAGTTAAAAATTTTTGAAACATTTGTGTTTTTTCTAGCAATATCAAGACACGATTCGACGACGATATTCAGACACGTGGTCACGATAATCCAGGGTTTCAAATGGAAATTAAGTCAGGCCAGATGGAACATGGAAATAATCTCTGGAAAAGTGGAATGATGGCAGCCGTGAAAATTCAACATGCCTCAAAAAGTTATGGGAGTGGACCACAAGTGCTGAATAATTTAAGCATGACGATAGAAAAGGGGACGATGTAAGGATTTTTTTATTTCAAAGAATTTTTTTATATTTTTTATTTTTATATTTCATATTTCATATTTTATTCATTTTTTAACCATTTATTTAAGAAAATATTAGGGGTATTCACACAGTCAGTAATAAGTCGTAAAATTCGCGTGTCTTGTAAAATTATATTTCAAATTTTTACAAAAGAAAGCAACGTCCTTGATCTGAGCATGGTTTCAAAATTTATAACCTAATTGTTCCTAAAAAATGTTTTTAAAATTTCGTAAAAGTTTTTGAGTTTATAGAATTTACGAATTTTACAAGAACTACATGAATTGTAGAAATATTATTTTTAAATGACCACATTCGTAAAAATATGTAGTTATTCCCTCCTGGGTTCATCCGGATGTGGGAAGACGACCCTATTATCATGCATCGTCGGAATTCGAAATCTAAATTCCGGGGAGATTTTAGTCTTCGGCAGAAAACCGGGTTCTCGTGGAAGTGGAATACCTGGAAAAAGAGTAGGCTACATGCCCCAAGACCTCGCTTTATATAACGGCTTTTCAATTGATGAGTCCATGAGATATTTTGCTGCCCTTTACAACATGAGTGGAACAGAGTTGAAGGAAAGTAGGGAATTTCTCATACAATTTTTGGACTTGCCTGGAGCCGAGAGACGGATTGGAACTTTGAGGTATTTAAAAAATATATACATTTAAAATTTTCAATTAAATTCGTAAAATTATTTTTTAAATATTTTTGATGTACAGTGGCGGCCAAAAAAGAAGAGTTTCTCTCGCTCTTGCCGTGAGTATTTACGGATTTGCATAATTACTTAGTATTTATGAGAATTAGTCCATTCTCACAATTACATAGTCCGACCATAAGTTCCCGTGAATGCATTTCCGGTGATAAAGCCCAAAGTATTAGAGCTATCTGATAGAAATTTTTGTGGATGAACAAGGTATTAACCACTTCGCCCCTATAACGACTATGTGGCGTATTTGACCTTTACGCCGAGTACGACCATGTGGCGTAAGTTCCCTTGGCACCGGAATACGACGATGTGTCGTATTGACCCTTGACAACGGATACGACTATGTGGCGTATTTTCCGTTCACACCGGCCTACGACTATGTGTCGTATCCGGAAAAAATTAGGTCATTGCCTCTCCAAGCAAAGTAAAGCAAGAGTTATGAGTCAACAACCCGCCCTTTAGGCGGGAAGATAAATTGTCTCTTAGGAAATAATATTAGAAATGGATGCAAAATAAATTTATAGCCAAGTGGCTATATCTAGCCAACACGCCGAGTTGTGAAAACTGTTTTTTGCAAGGAAATTTCGACACCGATTTATTTCAACAACGGTTTACGATAAGATTAGAGAAATTGTTTTGCTCGCATGTAGCACAAACGGGCGTTTTGGGCGAGAAAACTAAAAGTTTGATGAATTGCATCATTGCATGGATTTAATTATATACCACAAATAATCTTGCCGGTAGGGTAAACTACGTCAAAATTAATGCTTACGTATCGGGTGCCGCTGAAATATCTTTTGGGCGGGAAAATTAAAAATTGAGAGATTGCCAGGAATTAGTAGAATTTAATTTTCCCGCTTAAAATTGATTTCTATTCACCAGATGTGCCATAGTCTATGTTCGAGCAATTTCCTCTCACGGGATAATTATTCATTGTCATTGCTGTCTATTTAAAGTCATTGTAAGGATTTTTGGTTTTCCCGCCCAAAATCGGCTCCTAAGGCACTTTATGCGCTATAATCAATATTTGCGAGTTTACGTACTATTATGCAAGTATTACTCCATGCTTGTCTAACTTTTCATGCAATTACAATCATTTTTAAAATTCGGCGTGTTGGCTATTTTCGGCTATAAACATTGGTGGTTCGCCACAACTCAAAAATGCAAATTACAACTCAAAATACCTTCTTGAAAGGTTATTCACATCAATTTTCATAAAAAAGTGTCCAGAATAATTCCGGTGGGAACAACATTTTTTAATTCATGGCCCAGGAATTAACGTCATGCAGTAGATAAAAATTTCGGGGTGAAGGGAGGTAAAAATTCGCGGTTACTAGGGGTGAAAGGTATGAAAAAACTCGTCTCCTAGGGTTGAAGTGGTTAATCTTGTTTAGAAATCATAACTTCGTTTTCACAATTTCCTCCACGGGCTTGTACACAAGACATAAGTCGTGGCGAAAACTGTTCAATCGCGGCACGCACGGATTTCCAGGGAAAAGCGCCAGATCTTCAGTAAGTGCGACCTCAGCCCTTCCACACTTGGGTGAAATTTAGAGCATACTTGTACCTATAATTTTCACCACCAGTCATAATTTAGGGGATTAAGGTCTGCAGATACTGAGCACCGTTCTACGGATGAAAAAAAGTCATGAAAATTCGTCTGAAGCCAGTTTTGGACAATTTTGCACCTTGCGCAGGAACAGGGTCTTGTTGAAAGGTCCAATGTCGATTTTCGGAGGGTCCAGGGTTCAGGTTATTAACGTTTGGCTTTAGGACACTCTGAAAATAATTCTTGGCTTCAACTTGTACCCTTTGCGGTAAAAAAACAGATTTCATTTCTCCAGCCAACTTGCTCCCATGCACACCACGGTGATGACTTCGTATTGACTTCCGCATACTTAAACGGATGTCAGACTTCTGTACAACAAATATCTGGCCTTTTTTTCTATTAAATTTTTTGCCAACGGTGAAAAGTCTGAAATACTTTTTGCACGAAAATTGGCGCGTACCACGATCAACCTGTGGCCGTCACGAGTTATGTCTTGTCTAATTGCCCGTGGACGAAATCTTGACAAAGAAGTTATGATTTCTAAACAATATTAATACCTTGTTAATCCATAAAAATTTCGAACAGATAGCTCTAATACTTTGGGATTTATTACCGGAAATGCATTCACGAGAACTTATGACCCCACTATGTAGAGACTAAGGTGATCTTCATAAATTACATAACTGCAAACTGGTTGGAGGACAGACAAAGGTTTTGTGTGACAGGTCAGTTTTGCACCACGTGTTCAACGCATGACAAGAACGTGCCTATATATTCTTAAACATTGGTGAAATTTTCAGTACCATTATTTTTATGCTGCTTGGTTCTTAGTAAGAAAATATGTAAGAACTTCTTACATAATTTTTTACAAGGCAAAAATCTGGTAGGGGCTGATACGTAAATGGTTACCCCACCCCGTAATGGGACCAGATAATTTAACACCACTTTCCTTAAAGTGTGATATGTAATTATGTATACATACATACACAAATTTTATTATTCCGGTTTATTAACAGGAAAATTCTTTCTACTTATCTACCCGATTTTTATTTAGTTATACACTCTAAATAAAAAGAAGTGAAATTTACACAAAGTTGGGCAACAAAGTGGGTGACACAACCAAAAGGTAAAATTTTTCAAACATTGTGCAAAATTTGGCCACCCGTAGGACAAATTTTACACAAATTTTGGACAAATTGTGTACAAAGGTTGAGTAAATTTTACCTTCTGGTTATGTCATCCTCTTTTTACCCAACCCCTAGTAAATTTTACTTACTTTTATTTAGTGTGTAACATATTTGTACAAGTGTGTATACAGATCAGGTAAAATTCATTTAATTGTGTACCATAACTTACTGATTAAAGTGCCATTTAAAAAACTTAGCAAATGTCGCATCGATTCTCGACCTATTTATCCATTATGATACCTGAAAATTTAATACCAGTTCTCTTATTTAAATTAGGTACATATGTATATTTGCTAATTATGCATGCATTCTACTTGCTTCAAGTTTACCAGAATCATCTACAGATTTAGATATCTTGCTGATTTTTACTTAAAGTGCCTTTTAGGATTTAACGATCCTATTCTCATTATTGATTGCTTTATAATAATCTCTTTAACGAAACAGGATCACACCATGTAAGCATCTCTGGGGTATGTATTTACATATTTAGTTACACAAGTGCATGCATGCAAACATATGCACCTGCATAAAGTGGTTTGGCTGACCTCATAATTCTCCAGGTAGCTGTCAACTTTTCGTTGAGATGACCTACCTCACTGAAAGAAAAGTTGGCCTGCAGTTGATATCTTGTTGCACATTTTTATTAAGTTATGTATGTACATAGTTGCTTACATAAATATCTTGTTAGATATGTACATACATAGGTCATCTTCTTGTTCGTCACCTTGCCCGTATTTGCGCAATTAATCACATTGTAGTAAAAATCAATGTAGAAGAATGTTTTAGTTTTTTATTGTGTCGCATCACTGGGTACGAATCTAGATGGATATGTACGTACATACATACTTAGAATAGAGGTCTCCCAACGTATATGCTAAGAGATTTTAATCAAACGAGCGTCAATCGATCACTGATATAATTAGTGAAATCTGCGAATGCAACTATCTGCCAATGTGCAGGTTTGACGGATATATTTGCAACCAAAGTGGGAGAAATGCGCAGCAAATTTTGAAAATTAACAAATTTTCCAGCCCTGGGGGTGAGTTTTCTCCTATTTTGATGCAAATATTTCGACTAAACTTTAGTATTGGCAGATAGTGCAATTTGAAAATTTCATACTAATGATATTTGTGACACTAGTTCTGTCTAAATCTATGAGCATACGTTGGGAGACCTTCATTGTTAGTCATAGGACAAAGTTCCTTGTTGGCATGGCAAATGTGTTCAAGCGTTATGTAATATTCAGACTTTCAATGTGATCTGGGAAAACCTTATTTGTTTTTCTTTGGATAAATACATTAGCATATGTCAAAATGATATGGACATTTCTTTAATTGGAAAAAATTTAGTTAATTTAAATACACAGGTCCGGTTTTGTTACGAAATTTTAGTTCGCGTCACGTATTTCAGCAGAATTTAATCCTGCGGTCGTGTTATCTGGAAATTAAAAAAAAAACTTATAAAAATCATTATTATCTAATAGTAAATATGTATGGAGCCTGACTAATTTTTGCACCCTTAAAAATTATTTTACTTTTTTTGCAAAGTAAATGCAATGTGAAAATATTAAGTAGGGTGCATGTTGTGTACATATATGTACAAAGTCGAGAGTAAACTTTACTTTGTATGAATTAAACATTACTCGGTACATATGTACATATTTAGCATAATCTACATATTGAATATGGAATTGAGAGTGTAGATTTACTTGTCAAAAGGTTGACATTATTTTTAAAAGTGTGCAAATAAACGTCTCTTTTTATAGTTGATCCATTCCCCTGAGCTTTTAATTTTGGACGAGCCTACCGTTGGGGTAAGGTTAAATCAGAGGTCGACGCCGACAAATTTTCGGCGGCGGCGGCGCCAGTTTTTAGTGATTTTTCGGCGGCGTCGGCGGCGCGGAGCGGCGTCGCAATGTTAAAGGAATAGGAAATCAAATTTTGCGGCGGCGGCGGCGCGGAAAAATCATCGGCGTATGGCGGCGCGGCGGCGTGAGATCGGCGGCGTCGACCTCTGGGTTAAATTACTTAAAACAGTATGCCAGCATGTTATGAATATTAATTATGGGTTGTACTTCTTATTTAGGTTGACCCTTTACTGCGGGAAAAGTGAGATTACTGAAATTAATTGTTTAGTTGCCCAAATTATCTGTATTATTATGCATATGTTCTTACATATCTAGCATTTGGAACCATCTCGTCCAACTCGTTGCAAAAAAGCACAGCACAATCATTGGTAAATCATGAAAACTACCTTCAGATTTTCTACAAATGTGCTGAATATTTTATTCATTTTTTTAATTTCTAGTCAGCACTCACTACTCAGAGGAGGCACGTGCGTCAAGCAAGGTGTGTAAATTGATGAGCGTACTTACGTCAACCTTCGCAAATTGAGAATATGTAGCAATACAAGTCGCGAAGTTTCCGAAATTTGCGAGGATTTACAAAACTTTGGTTGGAAAGATATGGAATTTTTTTCGCAAATTTACAGGAATTGGGAATGTTCTTATTTTACAAAATTATTTCGTAAACTCAACCTCACCAGTAGAAAAAACTACATAAATCTCTAGAAACAAGATCGAAACGTATTTGTGTATTTAATAGATTTGCGAAGTTGTATTTTGCGAATCTTTCCCCGACACAAATTTTGCAAATCTCTCCACGACACAAATTTTGCGATCTACTTATTCAAGTTTTGTGAATGGGTCATGACGTTGTCATGACTCATGACTACGCTCATCTTGTACATTTCTTAAATTTTGTTTATAAAAACCCGGGTTTTGATTCCGCAGATCGGACTAATGCGTGGCGGTCGACTCATTACGGAGTCAAGTCCGAACGAATTACTGCAAAAGTATGAAACCATCTCGCTGGAAGAAATTGTTTTGAAACTGTGTCGAAACGACGACATGAATATGGATGAAGAGAATTGCCGGCCTAGGAAAAACTGTAGGTTTTTAGTTAATTTGGTCCTATTAATGATAAAACAAGGTGGAATACGATATGCAACTCATACTCATTTAACATGTATTTCGCTATCTCCCGTTAGCTAATTTTTTAGAATTACTCTAATAGTAAGTAAAAGTTTAAACGGGTTTGTACAGAAATTTAACCCAATTTTCTGCACAAATTTTCATGCAAAAAGCAGTATTTAGTTTCTTGGTCTTTTGCGCCTTGCATTTCTTGCACGTAAATAAGTAGAAAGCAAGAAACCAATTTCCTTCAAGTGTTTACTTTACTTGCCCACGAAACAAGGTCCCAATGCAGAAAACTATGCAAATACATAATTATGCACGTAAGGTTCTACGATTCTATTTAACTTCATAGTTAAACTATTGATTTAATATTCGTGATGTTTTATATTTTATGCAGCTACTGGTGGGTTTCTGAAATCGCTGAGAAAAATGTCTCATCGTGCCCCCTCCTCACTGGAAGACTCGCCGTACGAGGGTACCACATCATTTCAGAGGATTAAAGCCCTCATCGAGAAGAACTACATGGTCATGACGAGAAATTTGATGCTCCTCGTGTTCATGATGTTCACCCCGGCGTTGCAAGTCTTCGTTATGTGTCTTGCGATAGGAAATGATCCCAAGTATGGCGCCAAAATTTCAAAATTAAATATATACACGAATTATAATCAATCACTAATATTAACTTGATGTATTCGCAGGCCCATGTGGATGGGAGTGGTGAACCATGAAATGAATTATACGCCCTGCTCCACCACGTGGTTGAAGGATCGTGGTTCCATTGAAGGCTGTGACGTGGAAAATTTAAGTTGTAAATTCTTAACGGAAATACCAACCGATACAATTTACTTGGTGAGTGCAGAATAATATTGGGGGTACTCATGATTTCTTAAGAGGTTGCGATGGTTACGAGATTTTGTGTAGCATCGTCAAATTTGGTCAAATATAAAAAATAACCTTACTAAGGTTACGATATTTACGAAGATTGACCACTTGTTTTCCATTCCGTACACTATTTAAGGACACAAACGGTATCTAGGCAATTGTGAATATCCCTATTGAAGCCGTCATATCCAGTGGATATGTGCATAGTTGATGAAATTTGTATAATATATTTCTTGAAATGTAGAGGGACTATGCAAGCAACGAATTAGCAAGGGATGCCGTTAGAGCCGGAAAAATCTGGGGATTTCTATCCTTTCCTGAAAACTTCTCGGATAACGTGTACGAACGTGCTGCGGGAGCGAATACGATTGAGAATGAGACCTTGCAAGGATCCTATGTCAATGCTGAGATGGATTACTCGAGTAATAATTTTAGATTTCAATTTAGCTATAAAAAAAATTTGGTAAATTACATATTATTCTTTCCTTACAGATAAACAGATTTCATCTGCCATTAAGAAGGAACTTTACGACGCGTTCGAAATATTTCTGAAAGGGATGCTAATTAACTGCGGATTTTACAAGGAGTTGGCAGAATCTCCGATTCGGGTAGGTGATATCTATTCCATCTTCTTGCATAGCTAATTTTCATCCACATGACGAGTTTCTCGCATTCTTAAAAAGAACGTTACCTTTTTAAGCAGTTTCAATTCTAAATTAAGTAAAATATACAAAACCCAGGGCCAGCTTGATCAAGTTAACGTCGCTGTGGATTTAGCATGTATAGTTTATTTCATCTAAACTTCAGAGTGTATTTACTTCTCGAAATGGTGACATAATTCTTGAGTGTCTGTAGGACTAGTTATTTACAAAAACATGTATCTTGAATAATTCAGTACTTGGATGGCATTTATGGAACTGATGATACCGATTTTAAAGAATTTATCGGCCCAGGCATACTTTTATGGTGAATTGTAAATTTAAATTTTAAATTTTAAAGTGATTGATGTATATTTTTTTTAAATATCCATAAAACTATTTTTAGCATGATCTATTTCTTTCCACTTTGCTCGAGCGCCATTGCCTACATTTGGGATAAGAAGCAGGGAACGTAAACTTTTAAAAATTTTGAAATTTTTTTAAAACTTAATTTCCTGTTTTAAAATTTACGATTTATATTTAGCTTGGAAAGAAGCATGGTTGCTGGAGTGTAAGACCCTCATTTTTTATTTATTACTTAAATTATGTAATTTGTGGTTTTAAAAACAATATTTTTTCAGGCAAAGTTGGGAAATCATGACTTCATTTCTTGTCACGGAAGGAATCGTGCTCGTGATTCAGTGTTTCTTTTCCTTCTTCATGATAATCTACATTTTCGAGATCGAAATTTTGGGATCCTTAACTCTATCCGTGTTGATCACATTTATGATGGGGCTTGGCGGAGTTAGCATGGGTTGGTACACACACTCTAAATAAATTTGAGCAAATTTACTCGGGCTTTAGTAAAATTTGATATTGTACAATTTGGGATGTTAATTTTACTGAATATGTTTCGAGAAAAATCACACCGGAAAAATTTACTCAAAGTCGAGCGAATATTGTACGACGTTGGGTAAGTTTCTCTGAACGAGATACGACATCCCAAATTAAACTCGAGATTATTTAGAGTGTAGGAACATCGTTGCCCAGATTATTTATAGTTTTGAAAGTAATGAATTTAAATGGGACCTTAATATCAATTTATATTTGTAGGATTTTTAATCGCTTCTTTCTGTGACGAAGAGGTTGAGGCCGTTATGCTCTCCATAGCTACATTTTTTCCCAACATGATTCTCTCCGGTGAGAAACAGAATTTCAATTGATTACTCTGGATTAAAGTGAAATTAAGGATATGAAATTTTACAAAATTAAATTTTCAGGAATAATGTGGCCCATTGAAGGAATGCCTCTTTCCATGCAATATATTACATATTTGCTCCCAAGCAGATTGGCTTCTGTACGTTAAAATGCTAATTATCGAAAAACAATGTTAAGAACTTTGGGGGTATTCATTACAAATTAGCAGCCTTGCAAAAAAAGTAGCAAAAAGTGTGTTTGTGAACTTGCGTAATTCTAGATATGTCTAGAATTTATTTTATGTTGCTATGCGAGAATGCGAACTCGTAATGAATACTCCCATTATTTGCGAATAATATTAAGCACATTTCGGTTTTTAGGAATCAATCCGTTCCATCGTAACGAGAGGATGGGAGTTTACCCACATTGGGGTGTGGCCAGGATTTTTGACTACTTCTGGATGGATCACGTTCTACTGGATACTAACTTTGCTAATTCATAAGTTTAGATTTTCGCAGAGGTAAATGCATGCATGTTATGAAATAGATAATATAAATATGTATGTACTACACATTTCTGCCAAGTACTGATAAATTCAAAAACAATAAATCATTTTATCAATTAACCCATGTAAGTTATAAAAAATTTCTAAAATGTTATTAAAATTTCAAATATATTATCACTCTGATCATATTTATCTAATCATATGTAATCATTAATCATAATCATTTGTGATATGTCTGTAATCATACCTATGTATGTAACGTACATAGGTACATACATGAAATATGTAATTTTTGAGAAGGGTCCGAAAATTGTTTTAGGTTCATTACCTTGAAGGGTATTCCAACCAATTTATTATTTTCATTAAAATTCAGAGTTTTTCCCAACCCTGCACATATCTACATATCGTCGTATTAATTCGAAAACGACGTAAGTGCAGTCGTGTGTTAATTCGAAAACGACGTAAGTGCAGTCGTGTGTTAATTCGAAAACGACGTAAGTACACTATAAAATCTTGTAAAAGGACGTAAGTGCAATTATAACTTTAACAACTGGTCAGTTCTTGTTCAAAAATACTTCGTGAGTTTAAATATCTTAGTGCACCCCTTCGGTTTTTTATTTCTATATACGTAGTAATTGATACATGCATAGTTAGTAAAGTTTGTAATTTTATAACATTACTTGTTAATTTTGTAATTGCACAATGCATCAGTTCGGGTCTTCAAAAGTTTATTAAGTAGCTCATGCTACTTTACGCGATGTCTTAGTTAATTTGTCTGTCTGTCTGTCTGTCAACACGATAACCGGAGAACGGATCGAGATAATCGAAATCGGTTTGCGGTATCATACATATGACCTTAGTGGGAAGATCTCGTCATACTTTGTGGCCAACCGGACCACACCCCCTCGCTTCCAGGGGGTGTGGTCGGAGCAAAATGAAACGTTTACAAAAATTGAATCCATGGATGAAATAGAGTTAAAGTAAGTGTTCCCGAGTTGTGCCACACCCTCTCGAGCCTAGGGGTGTGGTTTACGCAAAATGAGATTTTTACAAATATTTGAATCTAACACGTAGGACGTATAAAACATTGATTGATTTATTAATTAGGATTGATAAAACAGTAAAACATGTAAGATGCATTATTCATTATTCTACATTATTCTTCAGAGTGGCAAGATAGAATGAGGAAATCTCAATTATTTTGTTAATTTTAAATAATTCAGATTCGGCAATCTTTGTTATCTTTGTTTGTATCGCATTCTCGTCGTTTTCGCGCTACTGCGTTGCCGCAGTTTGTTCACTAATGGAATTATTGATGAAGGTGATAGATTTACTTCAATAAATATAATACATAGGTATATTTAAATTTACCAAGCAATTTTGAAGAAAAACTGACCTGTTGTTAAAATTATAATTGCACTTACGTCCTTTTGCAAGATTTTATTGTGTACTTACGTCTTTTTCAAATTAACACACGACTGCACTTACGTCTTTTTCGAATTAACACACGACTGCACTTACGTCGTTTTCGAATTAACACATGACTGTACTTACGTCGTTTTCAAGTTAACACACGACTGTACTTACGTCGTTTTCGAATTAATACGACGATATGTACATACATACGTATTTTGTGTCATGTAAGATATGTACGCTTTCCTTGTCTGATATAGACACCGACTAATAATCGCCTTGTTTAGAGTACCTACATTAAAAATTTGATATGAGAGCAACAATTTCAATAGTTAAGTATTTAGTAATTCATCAAGTAAACATAATAATTTACGATGTACAACTAAATATGCATGCTATGTATGGGGTGCTTAAGAAGTATCCGGAATTTTTGCATATGCAAATATAAAATAAACCAATAATTTTATATAACTGAAATTTCGGGTAGGGAGCGACAAAGATTGAAACTAATTATTAAGTAGCTTCAGCTACTTTATGTGAAGACTTTGTCTGTCTGTCTGTCCGTCTGTCTGTCTGTCCGTCTGTCAGCAGGATAACGGGAGAACGGATAAAGATAATTGAAATCGGTTTTCGCCATCATACATAAGACCCCAGGGGGAGGAACCTATCAACTTTTGGGTGCAACCGGACCACACCCCCGGGCGCCAGGGGGTGTGGTCGGGGCAAAATGAGATTTTTACAAAAATTGAATCTATAGATGAAATAGAGTCAAATTAAGTGTTCCCGAGTGGTGCCACACCCCCTGGTCGCCAGGGGGTGTTGTCGGGGCAAAATGAGATTTTCAGTGAAATTAAAAAATGGATGAAATACACTGAAATTAAGTGTTCCCCCGCTGTCGTAGGGGTGGAGTGAATCTGAAGCTACTTCCGTATGCGCGTTTGCGACGGTTTATTTTTTGCTTCAAATGGTTCATGCACCTCCTTTCGCCCAATCTGTAGGAGCTTTTGTCAGACGCTCCAAAAAGTGCGTCGCCACTGTTTTAAGCTACCTTTTTTGCCATTATTGACCACACTTTGTGAAATAAGTTCAAATTTTTGGCTGAAGTTTATCGACTATGATATTCTTTACTGGATAAAGACAAAAATTATTTAATAGGTCTTGTTTGGGGCAAATTTTGGAACGTTGTTTACCTCTCCCATGTTAATTGCATTTGATCCGTTTTCAGGCGGAGCGGGGTAATTTTGCTTAGATTTATTTTCAACTTTTGCGTATATAGTTTTCTTGAAGCTGGGAGAGTTGTACGATGTGCAGATAAAATCCTTTTGATGATCTTGGCTGTAAATCGTGTTCTACGGGCCGTCCAATTTTGATGACTTCAGGTCGAGTCTTTTTTCTCTCATCTAGTTTGTTACTTTTATTTTACTCTTCACTGTATTTAGAAGCTTATAAAACCTAATAGGATTTAATGTCCTACTTCTAAGCTTTAAAATGATGTATTATGTTAGGTGATAACTTCAAGTATGGAATCGAATTACGCTCAGACAGTGCAGATTTCTATTTTTGCCAATCTTATCACTTTGGGTGCTGATATACGAATGGGCCGACCAGATATTTTTTTACAATTAACAGTTTTTTGTAGCTCATACCTTAGTAGTGTATAGCAAATTTTTGATTTTTGAATTCGTCGATTTTTAAAGTGGCTACATCTCAATTTCATAGTGCACGTAACCACGTTTTCGAGGTAGTGGCGGAAAGCTTTTGCGAGTTGCTCGCTGGTTTTTGGCCTCATTTTTGAACGGTAAGAGATATCGACTTCCAGTTTTCGGGTTTTAGTCGATGGATGTATGTGCTACACGACTACGGTCCTTTCGAATTTGGGACGAACTGATATCCCTTAGATATATGCGTATGAAAAAATTCCGGATACTTATTAAGCACCCCATAAATGCCTGCCTAGCTACAGATCGTAATTTTTGCATGATGGAGATTCTCCAATTTTTTACACAGCAAGCAATGAATATATATACAAATGATGGACCTGGTGTGAGAAAAAAGTAAAGGCGACCCCACATTTAAAAAAACAAATCTTATAGCAAATTTAATCAACTTTTGATTAATTAGGCTGAAGATCAGAATAATTGCAGCGATTATGCAACAAGATTTTAAAGGGATGACATTTGTTTCTATTAAACAACGTTAGCTCCGTAACCGTTCAGCACACAATGATCGTTCTTGTCTTAAAATGTCTACAAAATACTTCTACTAAATATGTACCCCTAACTACCCCTATCAAATATCTCTAAATACCTTTGAATACCCCTACTAAATACCCTAGTGCTCTACTAAATTGGACAGGTGTCCTCATTCCGAAAAAAACGAGCGCTGTCCCAGCGGGTAAATTGTTATACGCTCGCGAACATCCTTCCTACTGCCCAATACCGACTTCGCATGTTGTACAAAATTTTCAAAATTGCATGCCAAATCGCCATTGTGTGTTAAAGATGGCAACTTTTCTGTCCAATCTATTTCATTAACCATTACAGTAAATTGACCCGCACAGACAATTATATCGTCCGATTTATTCTTCCTTCCTGACACGATGACAGCGAACTTTTCTTCACTCGTTGTTTTGCACTCAATTCGAAAACCAGACAAGTTGTTACTGGAACTACAAATTTCCAGCGGAGTTTGATCACACTTCAAAATCGACTTATCCGGGCCGGCTCCTAGCAGCGTTATCTTATCGACTTTAAGCTTGAAGGATCCTTCATATACATTTTCACAAAGTTGAATTGTATCCCTTGGTTTGGCCTGATCGAGGAAATAGTGCAGCTCGGAAGCATTTCTAGCCTCCGCCATGGTCCTGGGCTGGGTGGAGAATTTGGGTGACGGCCTAAACGTGGAAATCAGTTTATAGAATCGTGTACAGTTTACGACTAACTCTTAATTTTGGCAAGTCTTTCACGACATTATAAAAATTGAGAGGGTATTTTACAAACACTTTTATAGTTGTAGAGAAATTAATTTTCACACAAATATCGCCTACCCTTTTCCAGCAAAATATATGAAAAGATCAATGACATCCTTTGGCTCTAAAATATTTGTAGGAGCCACAAATTCCGCGAAATCCTTTGGCACAAAATCGCCAAATATTTTGACCTATGTTCTGACCAATAATTAATTTTATCCATTTTTACGATTTTATGATTATCAATAATATGTGCAAAGGCAATTCATGATGTGCAAAGGCTGTTGGCTGTGATGCAATAAATCAATTATTATTATTATTATATATTTAAATACTTATGTATAATTAACATAAAATATAGATATGAAATGCACACTCTTAAAAATAATGTTGCACTTTTAAGAAGTAAATTATACTAAATCCAAAGTAAACTTTGCCCTTCATCAAGTCAACGTTACTCTTTATTTAGGATGGTTAACTTAATTTGGAATTTAGAGCGCATTTACTTGCAAAAGAGTAATATTATTTCTACGGTTACCTTGACAAACTTGTTGGCAGAATTTAGATATATGTGCTCAGGAATACTAATAGCCTCCAACTTTTCACTAGTAGTATTCCAGCGTTCTGCCATTAAGCCATTAGGCAGGCAGTGGTGGCCGAGTGGTCATCACACTGTGCTTCAAGCCGAATGGAGGTTCTGGGTTCAATTCCCAGTACTGGCTGAGAGTTTTTTCCCTTGTGGTTTTCCTCTCTGACTTGTTGCACAGGTCTGTGCGGTGTCCATTGCACTACG